ATTTAAAATTGACAGCCAAAGAACCATGGATCATTTGATTTTGTGTTCGTGGATGCTGACAAAGACAACTACTGGAACTACCACAAGAGGTTGATTGATCTAGTGAAGATCGGAGGAGTGATTGGATACGACAACACCCTATGGAACGGATCTGTGGTTGCACCACCAGATGCTCCCATGAGGAAGTATGTTAGGTACTACAGAGACTTTGTGTTGGAGTTCAACAAATCTATCGCGGCTGATCCTAGGGTGGAGATTTGCCAGCTTCCTGTGGGTGATGGAGTTACCCTGTGCCGCCGAATTAGCTAATCTGTTCCCACTCTTACAAACCAACCCTTTGGGCCTTGAGAATGTTTTCAGCACTAAATGCATATTTTCTTGTTTTGCCAAGTTTTTGATTTGTACCTGTATAATTTTAATCATTGTAATATGGACCAACCCAAAAAAAAAAAAGAGTTGTGATACGTGGGCCTAGGCCTAATAAATGAAGGTTCTGTTATCGTTAACCAGTTGCCCTTTTGATTTTCCAACCTTAAGTGACTCAAGTCACACAAGTGGTAGGTAACGTGGATTGTGAAATCATGTAATGAAAATTGTCAGATTATTAAACATTAATCATTCCCAAAAAAAACAGAAAAAAAGGTAGATAAATCTTTATTTATTATTATTCCTTTAATTCTTGTACTATGGATTCTGTTCCAAAACGGTACGGCTGTCATATTTGAGCGTCTCATTTATAAAATTATATGCAGTAATGATCTGTAGACATACTTTGCCCACAAAAGACAAGTTTATATTATACCCCTAAAGTCAAATGTATTAAAGATTATACCTAATTTTAGGTGCTTACAAATCATGTGAGAAATTTAGAAAGCAAATTAGTATCACAACTCTTGATACTTGTAAGGTTGTAACTAATGGCTTAGCCATACACACATCTCATATTTGATTTTTGAACCTAGTATAAACGTTAACCACTAAATAATTGCTACTGTTAAATTATACGCAAGAGTATGTTCATGTGTTTCTAAAAATGAATTTATAAAAACTTGAGTTTTACCATTTCATTAACATAAGGAGAAAAGAAACCGAACACTAAATTGAAGAGAAAAAAAGGGAAATATTTAATTAGGCAACTACTGTTTACCCTATTTGAGGCAACTACGAAATTTTCAAAAGTTTACAATCAACACTTTGTTATTAGAGATGGAAATGAGCCGGTAAGCACGAAAATGGCTCGACTCGACATGAATCTGTCATGAACCCGACATGCATATGACAAGCTAGCTAGCGTTTTAGTCCGCTCATATAACTGATGTATCCCATAAAAAAAAGGTAGTCCGGCATGACATGACAGGTAGGACAAGTCGTGCATAGACTTTGTTTATAAAAGATTGGCACGAGCCTGACACAACACGGCTATTTCTAATAGCTGATTAATGCTGACGGATATCTCGTTCGTACACATCTTCTCTTTGTTTTCCGAGCCTCTAGAATTTTTCTGTTGTAGCTAAAGAAAATTTTCTTTTTATCATTTCCCAGAAAATGGATTTACCGGCCCGAATTTGGACGAGTTTTGGGCAGTTTTTTCGGCCCAAAACCGGGTCGGGCCGGGCCTAGTCCGTTTTTTTAGTTTTTTGGACGGGCTTGGGAATGCATTTTTATGCTATACCAGTTCATTTTGTTGGCCCGACCCGGAAAGCCCGCCCGCCCCGACCATTTTGGGCGGGCTTGACTTGAAATTTTCGGCCCGAAGCTAGGCCCGACCCAACCCAAGTAATGGGCAGATTTTTTTACAATTGTTATTATGTGCACCACGTCTATACTTTTGAACATTTAAGTAAAAAATTTAAACACTTTACAAAAAATGAACATTTAGTAAAAAAATATGAAGACGTCATAAAAACTAAACATAAACATGCAATTTTATATGTTCATATTTTATAAAGAAATGTTCATTATATATGCAGTAAATGTTCAGTTTATATTACAAAACTATTAAATTATTACGAGTCAGACAAACTTCTTTCAAAAAAATTGATGTTTATTATATAGCGTTGTATTTAATATACTACATGTTTAAAATTTGCAATTGTTCATATTTTTTTTACTAGATGTTCAAAAGTATAGGCGTGGTGCATTGCGATTGTCAGATTTTTTTTACTAAATGTTTAAAATTTGCGATGTTCAAGTTTTTTTTTACCAAATGTTCAAAATTTGCGATTGTTCAGATTTTTTTTACTAAATTTTCAAAAGTATAGGTTTGGTGCATTGCGATTGTTCAGATTTTTTTACTAAATGTTCAAAATTTGCAATGTTCAGATTTTTGTACTAAATGTTCAAAATTTGCAATTGTTCAATTTTTTTTACTAAATGTTCAAAGGTATAGGCGTGGTTTTGCGGATTTTTTAAGTCTCAGCCCGGCCTGCCACGTCCATTGAACATGTCTAATTTCTAAAAAGGTTCACCCACTTAAACACGAGATACGCTGACACGATACTTAAACCTTCACGGCACGACCCGTGTCCATCTTTAGTTGCCCGGGCCTAAACTATGACTCTGTGAGTCTGTGAGAGTATTAGTAGAGCATGGTTTCAATTACTCCTCCGCGAAACGTTTATATACTACCCCTTTCCCGTCCACTCTCTATTACTCATTCATTCTTTTTTTTCCTCAATCGTCGCCGGAACCCTAGAAATGTCAATTTCGAACCATAGCATTCCGTCGAGTTTTACGGCCGCCAAATTATCAGTGACCATTTTACACCACCGCAATCGTACCACCGGTCTAACCGTCTAATCAATTTCGACTTTTGCCTACAATAGACCGGAATCCTCCGGATCAAGGCACCCCAACCGGTTCACTCCTCGGAAGCCACCGGTCCTCTGCCGTTGGATTGAGCCTTAAAGTCAGCGGCGATAGTCTTAGCTCTCAAATTCACGCCAATTTTGAAGCGCTCGTATCGTTGAAGAGCTAAAAAGGTCAATTATTTTGATTTAAGCTTTATTGCTATATATTTTGATTTTAGGAATTGCGGATGATTGAAGATATATATGTAATTGAATTGTGTTGTTTGATGAATTGGATGAAGAAGTGATATAATTTGAGGCACTTTTTGACCTTGTTGTCTGTGAAGCATTTCATCGAACAATTTGTGTGCATTGCTGAAACTTAACAATTTGTGTGCATTGTTGAAACTTAACAATTTGCGTGCATTGATGAAAATTAACAATTCCGAACTCTAACGAGGATTGATCGGGACTTGATACAAACTATAGGCTATTTTTGTTGATTAGGATAGGATCAATCTTTTGGGGAAGGTGCAAGTGAGGAGTTATTGTATCATTCTGGATAGTCGATACTCGATATACTGCTTCACTTGTTGCATTACTCCTAGGACGTGCATCTGTTTGGTGGTTGAGTCGCTAATTAGTACAAAGGAGCAGAGATTGAAGAGTGCAAAATGTCTTTTGACCTGTGAAGGAGAGAGTGTAGGAAAGCAGGTTCCAACTTGTCTTGTTGATTGGTAGCATTGTCGTAGGGAGTGATCACTGATCAGGCAGATTGATCTTCCATATGCGAGGATTATAAACGTCATTTTTTAATGATAGTGCTCTTTCAATGGTTACATTGGCTGCTCTAGCTGATAAAATAGCTAATGTCTGTCCACTAAGTGTATGATGCGCTCACCTAAGCCTTCTGGTCTTAGATAAAACACATCGAGGCCAATAGTCAGGCCTCTCAAGTTCACATTAAGTGTGCTTAGGTGTAAGTAGAAGAATTTAGTATAGGGCCCTTGAAGAATTGTTGTCAGCTGGCGCCACTGAATCTGGGGAAGATATGGTATGCTACCAAAAATCTTAGAAACACTAGGGGTCACAAGCCTGTATTGTCAAGTGGCGCTATGGTGGCAAGCAGTAAGAAAATTGGCCTACCACTAAGACTTCCTATCTGGTGAAGCTACAAGTACCACTCATCATACCTAAATACCATCATACCAATCATTATGCTGCTAGGATTTATAGCTTTTAGATTGTGCATTCAGCTGTGGTCATCATCACTTTTATCATTTTTTCCATTAAGTTTTATGTAAAGATATGATTACAAGTTATACAAATTAAGATACCTTATTCCATGATCATATTGGTCATTCATTATACGAAGTTATACACATCAAGGACATCAAGCTGTTAGATGGTCTGATAATTCTTAGTCTTAGAGAACCATATGGTATATGTAGGCCTTATTGTCTTGTTGGTCATTGCAATGAATGTTGATCATCATGTTTGTATTGGAAGAAGTTATAAGGTACATATAATGTTTGTGCTTGTTGGGTTGACATTGACATTTATGGGAAGTAACATTTTCTAGGAAGTGAGAGGAAGTAGATTTTGACTGTTAAAATCACAGGAAGTTGCAGTTTCTATTTTTGAATTCCACATACAATGAGTCACAAACCCACCTGTACATTTGGATTAACAGTTAGTGATTTTGGGGAACCTCTTATTATCAGCCGTTTCTTTTAATATTTGATTCAATTTCCTCTAAGATCCCCTGCTTCTCAACTCTGATGAAATTCTGACTCCTGATCCAAACCTTCAAGTGCCATTGCTTACTCATTTACCTGATCTTCTGGTATGTTTGTCATACTTCCAAAGCAAGTATAGATCACTGAATCAATTATTTATTTATTTATTTATTTATTTTTATTTATTTATTTTTTTGTCTTTGAGAAATTCTAATATATCACTTCCAATATAGTATGAAAATGTTTGAGATATAGATGGCAGATACAACCTCGAATATTGTTTGCACACTTTACTTGTTAATCATGCCTATCACGGTATGAAAATGCTTCACCTCTTCATCCCAATGCTTAAGATAAGGTGTTGCATGAGCCATCGTGCTCCTTGGCCCGTGCGGTCAAAATGCTGAGGTATGGAGGTTCTAGAAAGTAGAAATGGGATCGGACTACCTTCTGCTCATGATCAGCCCATATATAAGACAATTTTGATGCTTCCTTTCTTTTCTCCGTTTGATCAAGATTCAGGAACAACTAAAACAACTGAAGTTCAGTACAGAAGAAATGATAAACATAAAAAAAAGCAACAACTTGGTAAAATAATCATTTTATCAAGGACATAGATCTACTCTTGTGTGCTTTTAATTCTTCAATTAAGGCACTTAAATGAGAATAAGATGAGCCTCCTTCAGAAATAGCCAACCTTGCCATCTCTTTGCACTCCTTTGCCCTCCTTTTCATGTCTTGAGCTTCTTCACCAATTAATATTTTTGCCATTGCATTCAAGATCTCTTTATTACCAATGGTGATATTGTGGCTTCCCACCCTTGGTACCCATTTTTTCGAGCCCACTGGAACACCCATCTTTAACACATCCGTGACCAGTTTCTCATTATAAAATTGCTCAGCATGAAACGGCCAGGTAACCATAGGTACACCTGAGACCACCCCTTCTAGTATTGAGTTCCATCCACAATGAGTCACAAACCCACCCACGCCACGATGATCAAGAATAATCTGTTGTGGGGCCCAACCTCTTATGATCAAACCTCGACCCTCTATCCTTGCCTCAAACCCTTGTGGGACCCACTCCTTGGTATCCTCGTTCCTTACAACTAGGATAAAATTTTGACCCAGAGCTTCAAGAGATATTGCTATCTCATATAACTGAGCATCTGATACATTTGACATACTCCCAAGACATACATAAATCACTGAATCAGGCTCTTTCTCGTCAAGCCATCTCGTACATTCATTTACATCCACTGAAGACTTTTTCACTCTACGAAATGCTTCATTGTCTCCTCCTCTATTGAAGTAAAGTGAAAACGGTCCAATGTGCCAATGTTTCATCCCCATAACCCTCGCATAGTAGCCAGCATAAGCAGGTTCTAACTCATAATAGCTGTTCATTATCACTCCATTACAAGCTTTCACCGCATCTCTTACTTTATCCATCAGTTCTAGTAGGAAATTTGGACCTTCTTTTTTGTCGTATGGGGACAATTCTGATTTTGTAAATTTTATCTTATGAGGAAGATCACCAGGAACAACAAAAGTGTCTGAATCATACAAAAGGTTCTTGTGTGGTTCGTATTGAAGTAAGTTGTAAGTGATGCATTGAGAAAAATAACTACTTCCATGGAATGTTAAACATGGAATTCCGAACTCAATAGCTACGGAATTAGCCCAATGGATGAAATGATCAGCTACCAAACAATTGGGTTGGCATTTTTGAAGGAGGTCTGCGAAAGGTTGTTGAAGAAGGTCGATGGCCTTGAAGAAACGGCTAAACATTTCTGGCGAGGTTAGAGAATCTGCATTCTCACACCCTTTTGGGAGTCCTGCATCATCATATTGAAATTTTATAGTAAGAAGGTCGATTTCGAGGCCATCTTTTTGGCTATGTATTTGGATAGTTTCAGCGAAATAGTTTGCATTAGCAGGTGTGGTAACAATGGTAGATTTGATTTTTCGAGTTGCGAATAATCTAGCCATGTCCATAGTTGGGATCATATGGCCAGGAGCCATAAAAGGGAGGAAAACTATATGAAGTTGATCTTGCTCTGAACTCATCTTACTTTTCCCACTCTTGAGGTTTGATTAGAAGGTTTGGTCACTTTGACTTTAGATCTTGAAAGAGAACAATGGAGTAGAGATAAGGTTGAAGGGAGCTGGTTAACTGCTAGTGCCATTGTCAATGATTTAATTATACACAGAATTAATTAATATGATAATTAAAGTTGCACCTAATCATCTTCGAGTAGTTTATTAATTTTATTGTTGGAGTAGTTGTTGAACATGTCTTTTTAGTTTTTACTTCATTTTTCTTTGTACTTGTCATTTTCAAGCCGGATATATAAATTAACTTTTATGTCTCAATATAATTGCACCATTTATTTTTCCACGGTTGACAATACATTAGTTTAGCCATAAACTATATATATATATATATATATATATATATATATATATATATATATATATATATATATATATATATTTTAATTTTTAAATTTATATTGTGCATTAGTAAAATTTATAAATTGTTAATAATTTGAAAATATATATCAAAACGCTTACAATAAGAATATAAAATCACAACTACTATGTTCGTAGATATATTCTTGAGAATTTATGGTCATAGATAATTTTGACCATCAAAAATGAAATGTAGGAACTAGAGTATTTTGTTTTAAATGAAATTGAATAAATTTTGATTGACCAAAGGAGGACATGGTAATAATTTAACATGTTTTGTGGGAAGTTCTAATTTCTATGATTTTCTAATTCATTTTAAAATATGCTTATTTGTTTGAGACTTTGAGGTATATTAGTACACTGTACACATGCTTCGTTCTCCGTATTCAGTTACAAAAATTAAATAGCTTATTTATTTATTTATTTTTTTAATTTTTATTTTTTATTATTAAAGTCCTGTATTGAAAAATGTTTTTATTTATTTATTTATTTTTAAGGCTACTTCCATCTGAGACAAAGGGAGTATCTAAAATACTCTTGGAATTTGTTTTCACAAATTGGTTCTCCATTTAAGTGCCTTGCTTTCCTTTCACTTGCATAGTGAAGTGCAAAATTGGTTAATGTGATCAGCAAATTTTAATTATGTAGGGAAATTTGGGGTTATTTTTGGTGGGGCGTTGAGGCCATTAAGGGGCTATAGGCCCACAGTATTCCATTGATTTCCTCTTTAACTCCTGATTTTACAAAGTTTAGACGTGTATGTTACTTACTTCGTTCTCTAAATATTACCACATGGGGATGAAACACGGATTTTAAGAAGAGGAGAGAGATAGAGAGAAATTAAGATTGGAACCCTTGTGATAAGGAGAGAGAAAGAGAGAAAACATGTGCTAATAGGAAAATGTTACAATATTTGTGAATTATCCTAAAATGATAACTGTTGCAATATTTGTGTAATGGAGGAATTATTATATTAGGTTCATGTATATTGTTCAAACTGTGCTATCCCTATGTAATAATCTTTGGGATCTAATAGGAACATCAATTAGCATGAATGCATGATATAAAAAATCACCACACTTAAAGCTAAGCTGTCCACACCCATGGAGATGGAGAACTATTCATCATGTTGGGTTTATATAAATAGGTTAATAGTAATCATCGGGCATCCTACAAATAAAATATATAGTGGTAAGTTCAAAATATTGCATATAGCAAGAAATAGAGGAAATTTTTATCAACAAACTTCAACAATATATCAAAACATACACAAACCATTATCTACCAATAATGTTAACAATAACAATTATGACAAAATGACAAATGTATAGTCACATCCCTCATCTTACAATAAAGAAATATTTATATACACTAACATGATTGATGAAGAAATATTTATATGCATTGACATGATTCTCATGCAAATCCTTGTCGAGTTTTCACCCACTCAATTATAATGCATCGACCATCTTATAAATATGAAATTGCAAACCAAAGAGACAATTAAAGAGAGCATTAATTAAGCTCCAAACCACAAATAATTTTTAAAAAATGGCACAAGTGAAGTTGGTCTCAGAATGCTTCATCAAGCCAAATCCTGAGGCTGTTAGTGAAGCCTCAAAGAAACCTTACAACTTAAGTCCTATGGACATTGACACATTATGCGCTAACTACATGCAAAAAGGTCTCATGTACACCAAACCTTATGATGCTGGTTTTCAAACTGAGGTTTTCCTGCAGAAACTTAAACACACCTTTTCTCTTTCTCTCGTCCATTTCTACCCACTAGCTGGCCGTTTCGCTACCCGAACTTTCCCAGATGAGCATGCTTGTTGCATTTTCCTTGATTGTGTCAACAGCCCTGGTGCTAGATTTATCCATGCTTCCCTAGACTCCACTGTATCTGCTGTTCTCTCTGGCACCGACGTCCACCCTGCTTTCAGATCCTTTTATGATCTTGGTGAGAGGGCAATTAATTATGATGGCCACACCAATGCTCTGTTATCACTTCAGGTAACTTACTCTGTATTAAAGTACATATTTAGTTAATTATGGTGGCCACACTAATGCATACAGTAGACTGTAGTATACAATTATACATGTTGAGTTTATGAACAAACTCACATGTGAGATGTGAGTGGAAGTGTTGTCCCACATTATGCAAATGAAAGAGGGAGTGTTGAGATGTGTTCCCACATTACAGAAGATAGAAGTTGTGTCCACTTTATAGGGGCCTATTCCCTTTATTGCATATAGATTTGAGGTGGAACCTCGTTGAACTTATAAAGTGGACTCTCTCCTTGTGACGGGTGCGCGGTGTAGGCCTGTTTAACAATTATACAAATTGCTTTACTAACTAATATTCTTATATAGGCAGGCTTTAATTTCTCATGTAAAGCCTTGTTTTAATTATTGAGATATTGGTTGGGGATGGGAAGTATGCATTCTTTTATACCTTTATAATTTGTCTCTTCTACAAATCCTTATAAAAAATTATGATCCCTGTGTTTTAGTAATGAGTTAAATCAAGAAGTAAAGGGTTTTCCAATTCGAATTTGTGTCCTGCATTTTGGTTTTTTTTTTTCCTGCTCTATATTTTATCGAATTTGACAGTATACGAGTAATGTTACTGTAATATGTGAACATTTTGTAGGTCACAGAGCTTGTAGATGGAATATTTATTGGATTTTCCTTCAGCCATTCAATAGGGGATGGCACTTCCCTTGAACATTTTATCACCACCTTGTCAGAGATTTTCAATTCTGTCGGTAATAACCTGCAAAATGGGGAAGAACTAACCTATGTCCCCATCTCTAGGGAACCAATCTTCGAGCCCTTCTTTCCTGACGGATATGGCCCAGTTCTTAAGCTACCATATGTTGAACCATCTGAGTTCTTGTCCCGGGAAAATCCTGCCTCCATTAGAGAGAAAATATTTCAGTTTTCACGTGTGTCAATGTCAAGGCTTAAAGCCAAGGCGAACAACGACATACGTAAAGAAGGAAACCGTAATAATGAAATATCCTCTTTCCAAGCGCTGTCAGGGCTTATATGGAGGGCTATTACTCGAGCTCGGAAACTAGACCCTGAAATGGAGACTAACTGTTCTCTTACCATGAACCTGAGGCCTCGTTTGATTCCTCCACTTTCGCAAGAGTACTTTGGGAATTATTTCTCAAGGATTAGGGCCAGTTGCAAAGTTGGGGAGCTCTTAAACACTGGCTTAGGCTGGGGTTCATTGTTGCTTCATGCAAGTCTAAAAAATGTGGATGACAAAGCAATTATTGAATCGTTCAGGAAGTATTGTGAGGCTCCAATTGTAGGCCAACTAGCTAATGATTCCGCGTTCTTTGGGGTTAATTTTGTTAAGATTGTTGGGTCGCATAGGTCCAATTTGTTTGGGACTGAATTCGGGATGGGAAGACCTGTAGCTATTCGTACCGGAAACGTCAATGAAGTTGAAGGAAGAGTGTCTGTTAGTCAAGGAAGTGAAGGGGCAGGGAGCGTTGATCTAGAGGTTTCCCTTGCGCCTCCAACTATGAGTGCTCTTGAAATGGATGAAGAGTTTATGAGCTTTGTTACACTTGGTTAATTCTTCAAAGATCTAGCGTTACGTGTTACTATGTAGGATGCGAGCCCAACAAGTCTTACATGCATCCGACACATGATTGTTGTGCAGTGATTAGAGTCCGGAGTATGCTGCGCGGGCTGGAGAGTGCTATGATCCACTGAGCCTGTAGTTTTGTGTTTGCTACTGGGCAGTGTCTTGTGGGTTGCAAGACTGCAACTCTAGCAAGTATAATAGCAAGTTTAATAATTAGTCAAGGTTAGCCAAATTTGACCAGAATGTCTTATGTAAGCTAATCTTAGACCGAAGGAGTATTTGTTTATAATATCAATATCTTTGCTGTATTGTTTTTGTTATCATGGAGTAGAAAGAAGGTTGAAAAGAGCTGGTTAATCAACTAAAGGATATTGTCATCAATTCAATTGTACAGAAAAAGTTTATAATTTAAATGATATGAAAGTTACACTTTAATAATCTATGAGTAGTTTATTAATCTTAGTAGTTGGAGTGGTTGCTTATCTTACACCTACCCTCATAAATTATTCTTTTGAATTTGTCATTGTTAAGCCCAATACTAGCTATATGAGCCAGACATTGAATACTTCTTGCATTTCAAAATAATCACTTTATTAATAATCATTTTATTAATTTTTTTTTTATTTTTTTAGTTATGGTGTACAATAATTAATTTGACTTTATATATTGTAAGCTGTATATTAGTATAAATTATAAAACGATAATATTTTTATAATATATATATTGAGACGATTATAGAATGATTACACTTTAAAATGATTTTATTCATGGGAATCTATGGCCAAATATGTATAAAATATTGACTTTCAAAAGGATAGAAATTGTACAACTATCCTATAACAGAATTAATATAACAAGAATAAATTAACATTTTAAGTGGGGATCTTATTTTGAGTAAAACACTTTAAGTAGTAACACTTCTTTAACACCATGAAGGACACAAATATGGGGGTTTAATTAGCCTATTTCAACAACTAATTCTACAATTTCTTACACTACTCAAAGAAAAATCTATGTTCTTGCATGACACAATTTAAAGTTAGAATTGAGGTACAACATTCAATACTAAATTCAGAACTTACAATTAGATCCAAAAAACATAACAAAACTTTTATATTTTTTCAAGTTCATTTAGCTCTTGAATGATTTAATTTCTGTAATTAAAGCAGTTAATTGAGAGTAAGATGATCCTCCTTCGGATATAGTCTTCCTTGCCATTTCTTTTAGCTTCTGAACCCTATTTCTCATATCTTGAGCTATTTCATCAATCATCACACTTTTCATTGCCTTCAAAAGCTCTTTATTTCCAATGATTATATTATGATTTCCAACTCTTGGAACAAATCGTTTTGACCCGACTTGAATTCCAATCCTTAGAACATCCGTTACCAACTTCTCATTATAAAATTGTTCAGCATGGAGTGGCCATGTAACCATAGGAACACCTGTGATCACCCCTTCTAGTATCGAGTTCCATCCACAATGAGTCACAAATCCGCCCACACTTGAATGATTTAGAATCATTTTTTGTGGTGCCCATCCTCTTATAATCAAACCTCGGCCCTTAGTTTTTCGCTCAAACCTATCCGCGATCCACTCCTTTGTGTCCTCTTTAACAACCAGGATGAAATTTTGACCCAAATCTTCAAGGGCTATTGCTATTTCATGTAACTGAGCATTTGATACATTTGACACACTCCCAAAACAAACGTAAATTACTGAATTAACCTCTTTTTCATCAAGCCATCTCCTACATTCACTAACATCAATTGACGAGTTTTTCCCTCTATTATTTACAGCATCATGTTCTCCTTCATTATTGAAGTAAAGCGAAAACGGTCCAATATGCCATTGTTTCATGCCCATAACATTCTCATAATAATCAATATAAGCAGATTCTAACTCAAAAAAACTATTCATTATAACACCATAACATTCTCTTACACCCTCTCTTATTTTATCCATCAATTCGAGTAAGAAAATTGAACCTTGTTTCTTGTCATAAGGGGCCAACTCCGAATTTGTTAACATTACCTCATGAGGAAGATAGCCAGGTACAACAAAAGTCTCCGAATCAGATGAAAGTTTCTTGTGCAGTTCATGCTGAAGTAGATTGTAAACAATGCACCGCGAAAAGTAATTACTTCCATGGAATCCTAAACGTGGAACCTCGAACTTACTAGCAACGGAATTAGCCCAATGAAAGAAAATATCAGCTACTAAACAAGTAGGGTGGTATTTTTCCATTAAATTTGTAAAAGGCTGTTGAAGAAGATCAACGGCCTTCAAAAACTTATGGAACATTTCAGGGGTTGTGACACAATCAAAATTTTCACATCCTTTAGGAAGTCCTACTTCCTCAGAAGGGAATTTTATGGTTAGTAGGTCGATTTTGATGCTCGAACTTTGGGTATTGATTTCGATGGCTTTAGCAAAATAATGTAAGTTGGCAGGGGTGGTAACAATGGTGGTTTTGAGTCCTCGAGTTGCGAATAATCTTACCATATCCATGGATGGAATCATATGGCCTGGAGCTAAGAAAGGGAGGAAAAATATGTGAGGTTGATCTTGCGTTGCGTTCATTTTGGTTTTCTTGTAAGATTTGAAGATTGGCAATGGCCTTGGGGAAGAGGGTCGAATTTGATTTGTTGAATTGAGGGTGTACAGCTGCAATGTGCACAAGTGGTACACATATTTTAGAGATTTTAGATCGAATTACTGTAATATAATTAACTACATATAACTTTGGATACGCATGTCGATAATTGGGTCAACATTTTACCATTCCTTTCTGATCAGCAAATACAGAATAGTAGAATACTAATCAAGTAACCATAAAAGTTGAGATTTGTTCTTCTTACCATAAAAAATAAATTTGGATGCTCAATTTGACAAGTGAATGAACGCAAAATGGTGACAAATTAGCAGTAGGCAAATATAGAAAAGCGTGAGCACATGTCCACTTGTTTTAGATACGTGACAAATAGCAAGAGACAAGATTAATGTCTCAAAAATTAGAGAACAAGAGGGTACTAATAATAAAAAAAAACCATCCAAGTTGTTATTGAAAGTGAAACTGATTAAATGCTCAAAGATACAGATATTATATATATAAAAAAAAAAATCAAGATTGTATAGACTGTCCAACTTCAGCTTGATAAATTTAAAATATTAAAAAAAAAATCATTGATATAGATTGTTAAATCTAGTAAATTAATTTTCCAGTTGTCGTTACTCAAAAAGTTAAGGAAAAAAAAGAAAGAAGGGTGATTAAGGTACAATGAGTCAATGAGTGATATGGTCCAAACATATAATACTCATTCTCACTAACATGTAAGGAAAAACATAGTCAATGAAAGTTTAAATAAATTTGTCCCGATATGTAGTTTTTGAAAAGTAACTTTTTATAAATTTTGATAATACGAAATTAAATTATAAATATTTTAAAGAAGGTGAATTAAAATAAAAAAATGCAAAATTCCAAAAGCAAATGAGTACATCAAAAGAAAACTGTTGAAACCCATTGTAATCCCATTTATTCAATTTTATAACATTTATTTTATAAACATTAATTCATGTTATAAATCCATTAATTAGCCATAGAACAATCTGCTTGTGCGAAGAGTAACTGGCCAACATGATTATCATATATAATCCGTTGGTTCATCTGCTGGTATGCTCCCAAGTATGTAACACTATTATGTTCTTCTTGTGTACTTTCGAGATACATCAAACAAACCATGGCATTTCCGCTACTGGCTTGGCTGATGACAAAGCTCGCAGGTGGTGGTATAACCAAGTCCGCGTTATTAGCAAAATGATATGTAACTATCGGAACATTAATGTTAATCGGATCCGCAATACGTTCGTAACAAAGCCTAAGTCCCAATTCCGGCTGATCCATCTTCCTCACATTGTGATTGCTTGTTTCAATGACGTTCGATACAGCATCTAAAAACTTTCCGTAGGCTTCCGTGACAATGTACGAGGTTGCGGCCCCCGAGTCTATGATGCACCCTCCTCTACCATCTGCGGCCAGTTGGAACACTGAGGGATCAACATCTAGTCGTTGATTGCTTACCGAGATCCCTTCGAGGATTAAGTAGTACGTCGACCGGTCTTGGAATTGTTGCAATGGTGTCGATTTCATTCCTGATGGTTCAACCACATCGGTTCCAAATCGAAGGAACATTGGTGAACCACCAGCTGCTTGGGCAGACGGCAATTGTAAGCAGTATGAGAATCGTCCCTTCGACACTGAATCAGCTCGGTTCCAGAAACTAAAATCGCCGTAACCCATGCCCAGAAGTCCGCTGATTTTGTTGTCATCTCTACTTCCTGCATAAAAAATATATAATCAACCTTGTAATGTTGCGACGGATCAAATTAAGGCTCTATTTTGTTCATTTTATTTTGTCTGAATTTATTTTATCTAAACTTATTTAATTTAATTTAACTTAATTTTAATTTATCTTGTCCTTCTCTGATTTGAATTTTCTAAACTTATTTTTAAAAGGAATTATTTTTGTTGAACTGCCTGAATTTATTTTTTTGAAATAAAATAAAATAAAATAAAATAGGATGAAAAAAAGACAAAGCAATCAATTGACAGGTTAATAATTCAGTGAAAAGGACGAATCTTCTTAAAAAACACGACACAACAAAACAAATCAACTATCGAGTACGAATTACCTTCCTTAAAATTTTGCATGTTGATGCCGCAACCGAAAAAGGCATTGAACACAGCTACATATTGGTCATACTCAGACTGGAAGGTTAAAGTTTCCAAGGCAGCAATAGCTAATACGGATGAATCATCGCTATAAACTCGTTCCAATCTACAACCATCACTTTGGCATTGTGCACTAGAAGGGCAATGTTCGCAAGGAAGTGGTTTGTAAGATTGTGATTGACTGGCTGGAAATAAGGGATCTACTTGATGAAAGCAATTTTCGCCACAACCTTCGCATTGTGTCCATGTAAGATCACTGCCCGTATCTAAGCCTAGGTAGTAAGTTTTGTACCTTGGACCCTCATTAAATGTGCCAATACCAACTTGCACATAATAAACTAGATCCATTTGACCTAACGAAGGTCGAATGATCCAATCATTTATGTGACGCGACTTCAAAGAGCTAGTATTTTTGGTACCATGTAACCTTGTTAGGGACTTAACTCTAGAATTCGACAAACGAATATGCTCTTCCCATTTCTTGTTTTCCGTAAGGTTGTTGGTGCGATGTATAGGTGATTCAGGAGAATCTCGATGAATCATTTTGAGGCTAAAACCAATATGGTTTTTAGTAGCATGACTACTTTGAAGGAAGTTATTGACTATAAGGAAAAGGAGTGACACTAAAAAAAACTGTAACAAGGGATTAGCCATAGACAATAAAAGGTCTTGGAAAACTGGAAATCCCTCAAAGGCTTTTTCAGAGAGTTTACTTAGCTTGACTCTATCAATTTTTTTTTTTTTTTTTGACAGGTTGACTCTATCAATTTAGATATATTATAATCAATAACCACTTAATTATTCATGTATAATTTTCTCACCAATAATGCTGGTCAAAGATAATTATTGTTTTATTTATGGAATGTAATATGATTAATGATATCAAAATTATAAGTTACTTATGTATATAGATATCTTTCATATACTACCTAAAATTATATAGTTGAGAGTGAGGGATTAGCTCAAGTGGTTAGAGCTCCCCTCCCGGTTTCAGGAGATTCTGGGATCGCTCGGTGTCTAATTTTTTGTTCTATTTAAATTTGTATGGTTCCAAAAATACGCCTTAAAACATAAATATTTCTATGCACGCAGAAATTATAAACATCTTATTGCAATATTCTTAAAGTAGAATGAAGTTATAATAATGAACCAACTCCGATTTGCTTAATAAGATTCCACTTGACTATTATTTCTTATATATAGGTTAGGGAGGATTTAATTTGTAATCAAACTTTTTAGAGTTTAACTCCAAAAAAACACAATTGGGCCATTAAAATAATAGAGACGGAGGTAGTAGATTATAGATAATTCACACCCATAATCACCAACTCATTTTTTATTTAAGAATCGATATCCGAATAATCACTACCATGTTATTGATTAGCCAATGGAATGCAAGACAAAATACATTAAGCTAAAAGCGAGGACATACATGGAAGCAAACACAAACAATGTGAAAATAATGAATTAATGTTATTATTTATATATAAGAAGATAGCTAGTATCAACGACCATTGTTGCAATCCTCTTAATGTTATTATGTACATGTAATAAGAAGATAGCTATTATCAACGACCCTTGTTGCAATCCTCATTTGCAACAAGTAGTTTTCCATTTGGAATATCATATGTTATCCGATGACCAACTTGTTGCGTAGATCCTGATACGGTCATACCATCACCGTCTTCCATACTATTTTCAAAAATCATCAAACAAACAAGGACTTGACCATCATGTTTGGTGTAAATTTCAAATGTTACATCAGAATTCATCACGAAAATTACGTTATTTGCAAACTTCCAAGTAATCCAAGGGAGATTAAAGGTTGTAGGCTCACGTACACGCTTGTAACAAAGGCCGAACCCTTCATACCTTGCTGAAGGACAGTCTAATTTCTCTACATTTGAGTTTCTAGATTCAATATATGCTGCCACCTCTTTTTCTAAGGCTTGGTAGGCCGAAGTAGTTACAAGGCTTATGGTTGTGCCTGTGTCGATTATGGTTCCTCCTTTTCCGTCTGGTGTGATTTGAAACGCGTTAGGAGGAATTTCAAGGTCCTTTCGGTTTACCTCAATTCCGCGAAGATCAAAGTAGTAGTAAGGTCTGTTCTGATGTTGAAACATTGGGGTGGCACTAGGCTTTCCGGGTTGTATACAATCATCTCCAAATCGAAGTAACATTGGTGGTATTCTTTCTTTTGTAAGCAATATAGGAATTTTCCATTAACCACAGTTTTTTTGTGTTTATGGAAGCTACGTACGCCATAACTCATTCCAAATATTTCACTTATTTTATTGTTTGGATCATCATCTGCATTACAACACAATTAAAGGAAAGATAAGATCATAGAAGAATTTCACCAAATAAATATAAAAGGAAACCAACATAGTATAAGATGATTTTAATAATTATAATAGTATGATAAAATCATAATATACACCAATGTCAAATATATATATATATATATATATATATATATATATATATATATATATATATATATAAAATAAAAATATACACATGATATATACTTCCTCTGTTCTTTTTTACTTGACCTGCTTTGACTTTTACACTACTCACTACCTCACTTTTGATCGTCTTTTGTGAATAATATGTAAGGAAAAATATATTCATGTGGGATCTTTATAAATTCGTCTCAATAAGTATTATCATAATATATAACTTTTATAATTTTTACTTAAGAAGAATCAAATTGATCGTTAAAGTTTTGCATTGGCAAGCGTGATAAAAGAAACATGTCAAATAAAAAAGAACAGAGGAAGTAGTAGACAATTCAAGCACTAGTATTTGCAAATTTCAATTATTATATGACAATGCACGTGCTATATTTTTAATTAGATTTATGGAATTTATATTTCTATAATAAAAAAGTTCACAAATTAAATGTGGCTGATCACATCGTCATAGGAGTTACTTTGTTAGTGTAATAAGGGTTACTTGGTAGTGTTAAATGGGTTACTCGGTCAGTGTTATAGGGGTTACTCACTCACTAATACCGGGGTTACTTAGTCAGTGTTATAGGGGTTACTTTGTTCTTTTATAAGTGGCCACACATATATAAGACGAGCTGAAAAAAGTTTTATAATTTATGATAAAGAGTAAATAAAGATATTAATAGTCAAACTTGTGCATTACAAGCGTGTAAAATGTAAATGGAAAGATAATAGAAGAACGAATAGAGAGTAATATCATACCTTGATGAAAACCTTGCACGTTGATACCGCAACCAAAAAGAATAAAATCCACAAGTCGAGGAGTCGTTGGAGTCTCGAAGGTAAAAGATTCATGAGCCAAAATCAAATCGACTTTGGCGCCATCTCCATAGTCGGTTTCCAACTTGCAAATATTGTTCTCACACTTTGCGCCTGAAGGACACTCGGTGCGGCAAGGAACTTCCTGATACGTAAGTGATTTACTTGCGGGGATATAAAGGGTCTACTTGACCAAAACAATTGTTACCACAACCTTCACATTGTGTCCATATGAGATCACTACAGGTATCGAACCCTAGATGAACTGTTTTATGAGATGGAATTGGATCGAATGTGCCCATTCCCAATTCTACCGCGTAGATATAAGTATCTAATCTTATTGGTGGTCGTATCGTTGGATCATCATTCTTGGTTTTGTTGTTTACGCCTAAGTTTGCAAGTTATTTGATTCTAAGCTTGGACAATTCAATGAATTCTCTCCTTCTCGTTGCATCCATTTGTGTAAGGTTTGGTCCATTTCCATGAACTAATGTAAGGCTAAAACCTTTGTGATTTTGGGTGGTAGCATTATCATCAATATCATGGATGATTTTGGGTGCTAGAGAATAACAATTAGTGAAAAATGGACTAATTTATTTGGATTAGCCATTGAAGCTAGTTGTTGAAAGAAAATGAATCAGTGCAAACCAGTGGTATTTTATATACTAGTATATTGATTGAAAATCGCATACTACTACTTGAATATGATTTATTTTATAGCCCATGTACATTTATGATTATTTAATATTATGATCATTTTGTATTAGGTAGATTTCATCTTTTTTTTTTTTTTTTTTTTTTTTTTTTTTTTTTTTTTTGTTGAAACCTTCTATGACCTTATCTTTCCTTCTTAGAGGGTAGGGTTTTTTGATTTTTTATTTCTTTTTTTTTTGGGGGTTGGGGGAACTAAGTCTTCTTTGACCTTTATTTCTTACTCATTTAGGAATGGATAAGTGTTACTCCCTTCGTTTTTAAATACTTGCTCCATTTCTCCATGCACAGAGTTTTAGGAGAAATTAGAGAAAGTAATAAAATATGGAGGTAGCGGGGTAGGTGGATGAATAAAAAATTGTAAAAAGCAAAAATAATTGAGCGAATTGGAATAGAGGCAATATGAAATTAATAAAATATGATTTATATTGGATCCACTTGGTGAGAGAAATGAATTAAATATTGTAAAAGCTATCCAAATAAGGAAATGGAGCAAGTATTCAAAAACGGCCGCAAAAGGAAAGTGGAGCAAATATTTAAAAACAGAGAGAGTATAAAATTTGGAGAGATATTTGTTTAAACCACCTTATTTTGATAAGATTGCTTTTGTGAGTCATAAGCATGTGATCCTATCCTAATTTCTCCCACCTTGGGCAAATCCTCAAGGTGCAATGGTCTTATTTGTGATTTGTATTAAATGAATTTAGTACATACTCATATTATTAGCTCAATATATAACAACTTACATTCAAAATACCAATTAAATATTTTTATCTTTCCATGCATGCATATTTCCACCTCAATGATATTAATATATGTTGATTGAATAATTTCTTTCTTTTTAGAATTGATCATATTTTTTGTAACTATCCATCAAAGAATAAAATTATGACAATTGGAGAATAAAAAAGTAGTTCTTTAACTTCCTTTCACACTCTATATTAGGCCTACACCGCGTACCTATTATTTATTAACTACTATGTTTGAGAATTTGTAATCAATTGTTTCAAAAACATACAAGATTTTAAAATTGGCCATAAAAATAAAAACAATCGTTATATATATTATGAAAATAGGAAGTTAATACTTTCTCCTCTCTACCTCGGTTCCTCCAAGGGTATAATAATACATTCCACCTCTATCGTTATACCACCTTCCCTATATCATTTTGGTTATGGGATGAGAGGGTTTTAAATCTTTGTCATCCCTCTATAAATAAATTGAACTATATGATAATATACCATGAATTAAAAGACTATTTTAACTAAAAATTTAAGCTGATGGTTAAAACTCAGCTGCGATTGATTTATATACTATATAATATATATATAAGGGTTAAACAAATTAAACTATTAAAGATTTTGGCAATAAGCAATTCCCATAACATATAGACTAAGAATAATTATTTAATTACCATGCAAGCTAAATAATTACCCTATATTACACATCAATTCTCACCATAACAAGGCGCTGGATTAAAGAGTAGTTGAGCATTATCAACATCATATACAATCCGATGACTCTTCTGCTGTTGTGCTCCCAAAACCGTCAAATGGCTATCTACAGTTTCTGAACTATCTAGCATTGTGAAGCAATACATGTCGTTACCAGTAATTTTTGATTTTCTAGAATTAAAGGATGAACTTTGTGTTAGAACAAAGTCAGCGTTATTACCAAAATGGAATATGATTAATGGAAGATAAACAATATCTGGTTCTCTGGAGATTTGTTCGTAACAAATTTTAAGACCCAAATAAGTCTCGGATTCATTTAATCTTCGAACATTAGAATTTGCACTTTCAATGTAGTGTATTACCGCAGATGCCATTATACTGTAGGGTTCCGAGGCAATTGTGGAGAATGTTGGCACTATGTCTATTATACACCCGCCTGTATCATCTGTGTCGTTGATAGCGAAAACCTTGGGATCAATATCTAGTAGCGTAGAATCAACGGTGATGCCTTGGAGGTCCAAGTAGTATAGAGGGCGACCTGGGTACATTTTCAATGTTGTTGTTTGTAGTCCGCCTGGTAGTTGCATCTCACCGTCGCCGAATCGGAGGTACATCGTAGAATCACTAAATGGTAAGCAGTACGAGAATACTCCTTTGAAGTATGCTCGAACTTGATTCAGGAAACTATATTCGCCGTTACCCATTCCCAATTTTCCACTTATCCTGTTATTTTTTATACTACCTGCGTAAGATTGAAAACAATTATTCTTCACTTATGATAGAATGAAATAATTAAGTAAAGAGTATACACTGCACCCTAGTCTTTTACTATTTCCGTCCGTTATTTTTTTGTCCCATATAGGTAAAGTTATTTTTTTTTTTTTTTTTTTTAACTTTTATTAGTTGAAAAGAGTTGATAAGAGAGAAAAATGGTGAGGTACAGTTAATGTAATGCTTGTATTCATATTAAACTTCATAATACCAACTTTATGGTTGTTTACTTTTATTGTAGATTTGATACAAACTCTTAAATGAACCTGGTTCACATTAATTTGGACCACGAATATGAGAGACACTATGATAATTTTATTAATAAAAAAAAGTCACTATATTAAAATAAAGGTTATTATGTTGAAATAAAAATCATTTTGGAATTATAAAGGGTATAAAAGGTTAATTTTTTTTAATGAACTTGTTTATATACTGGTCAATATGAATAATAAAAGTCACTATGTTACAATTAGGGTCACTATGTTCAATCTGATAAAAAAATTTTGAATGTCCAACTTCGATTATTAATTTTTGGATCGGTAATATTGTTCAAAAAAATTACAATTTAAATTAATTTTAAAACACAATTTTTTATTTCAAAGTACAACCCAAAATTTCAAATAAGATCAATGGATTTTCGGATGAGATCATATAGATCGAATATTTTGCACAACAAACTCTCTAGGTAGTGAGGGGGACTATAATAACCATATAAACTAGATGATCGTACGGGCTATTTGTTATTTTTTAAATAAATATTTTTTTGTATTTATGTGATGAAATTTGTTATTTTATTAGTTAGATTAGCCACAAAACTAAGATTTTAAAAAAATGTTAGATACTGAGTATATTGAATATTTGCAATGTAAAAATAAGAAATTGTTTATATTTTTTTTCTACAATGCAATTTTTATATAACTTGTATACGAAGTAGAAGGTAGTTGTTACGGTATTTAAAAGAAAGATGACACAACATGAAGTCATAGTGATCGATTATCGAGTAATTAATCTTACCTTGCTTGAAATTTTGCATGTTAATTCCACAGCCAAACGTGACATTCTGCAGTTGTATTACCATGCTGTTTCGGCTGCTACCTTGAGAAAGAGTGGAGAATGTTTCAGAGGCAGCAATGGCTATTAAAGATGAGCCATCCTCGTAACTACGATTCCACGTACAAGCACCGTCACTTTGGCAGTGTGCACCATGAGGGCAATGATCGCTAGGAAATGCTTTATAGGTACTAGATTGACTAGCAGGATATAGAGGATCTGTTTGGTGAAAGCAATTTTGGCCACAACCTTCGCATTGTGTCCATGTAAGATCACTTCCAGTATCTAATTCGAAGTTATAAGTCTTGTAACTTGGATAATGATCAAAACTACCAATCCCAAATTGCACATAGTAATATAGACCAAAACCATGTATTGTAGGTCGAATGAACTCATCAGTACTATAACTCGATCTGGTTGATGAGCTAGTATTTTTGGCTCCATATAGTGTTCCTAGTGAGTTAACTCTGCTAATTGAACTTTGAACGTATTCCTTAATTTTCTCGTCTTCTGTAAGGTTGGCACGAAATGTAGGTGATTCAGGAGAGTCCCGATGAATCATTTTAAGGCTAAAACCATTATGTTTATTATCAGCGTAACTATTTTCAAAGGTAATAAAGAAAAGGAGAGTTGGTAAGAAAATATTTAATAGTAAACTAGCCATGGCTAAAATTTGGAGAATGTTTTGCTGAGGAGGTGTATGTGCCTATCCTTTAAGATATGGAGTATAAGAATGATGATTATCTTGAAATTGTGACTGAATTTATTTCTAGAATACAGCATGAAGAATATATTTCAAGATAATCCTTATCATGTAACAAGTTAAAGTGTACATCTCCCTTTTCTCAACTATCAACAATTTCATAAGTCAACTTTACAAAATCTAGAACTACCTTCTACAGAGTATATCTACATAATCCTTATTCCATCTTATATTTCTTTCGATCTAGTCCAGTAATTTTGGAGATTGTCCTATCTTAGTTTATCAAAATGATACACAAAATTTGGTTATCAAATGACATTTTCGTAATAAAACAACTTTAATCATAACAAAGTTGGCTAACAAAGATCAGAGGACATACATTTGATTAGCATGTGGAAGTCATGACAGAATACATACATTTGGCTAACAAAGATCAGAGGACATACATTGAAGCAAACACAAACAATGAAGTATTATTCTTATTAATTATAAGAAGTTAACTAGTATAAACTAACGACCCAAATTGCAATCCTCATCTGCAACGAGTAGTTGTCCATTAGGAAGATCATATGTTATACGATGACCCACCTGGTGGAGAGATCCTAATAGGTTCACACCACCAATATTCTTTTCCGATTCAAAAATGTACAAGCAAATTAGGACTTGACCATTTTCAGTGTAAAAAACATCAAATACAAGATTTGGATTAATTTGGAAATTCACATCATTTGGAAACAACAAAGTAACCCAAGGAAGATCAAAGGTTGTAGATGCACTCTCACGCTTGTAACAAAGTTCGTACCCTTTCTCTTTAGCTGAAGCATAATCTCTCTTAACATCTGAGTTTCTAGATTCGATGTACGCTGCCACCTCGGCTTCCAAGATCTTGTAGGCCTCTGTGGTTATATAGGATGCCTCCGCGCCCGAGTCAATCACGGTTCCTCCATTCCCATCTGGGGAGATTTGAAACACATTAGGAGGAATCGCAAGTACTTTTTGGCCAACCCTAATGCCGCGGAGATCTATGTAGTAGATAGGTCTGTTCTGAAACCGAAACATTGGGATGGATCTCGGTGTTCCTGTGGGTTGTATACAATTATCTCCAAATCGAAGGAACATTGGTGGTAATGCTTGGTCAGCTTCTTTCTTTTGTAAGCAATATTGAAATTTTCCATGAACCAACTCTTGTCTTTGTTGTTCTTGGAAGCTAAGTTCGCCATAATTCATTCCGAACAGTCCACTTATTCTATTGTTTTCATCTTTATCTGCAATACAATACAAATTAAAGGGTAGCCCAATAAGTTATTTGATTTCAATGATTACCTTTAATATGGTGTTTTTTTGTTCAAGGTTCTAACATTTTAGTATGTGTGACATTATTAAGTTCGTTGTAATGTCTATTTTCAAAAAATCAACTTCTTATAACTTATGCTAATACGAAATTAGAGATATTACTTGTACAATTTATCTTAGAGGTGGCACAAAAAAAAAAAAAAAAAAAAAAAAAAAAAAAAAAAAAAAAAAAAAAAAAAAAAAAAAAAAAAAAAAAACAGAGGGAGTAATAATTACCTTCAGCATCAAAATGTAGCATGTTGATACCGCAACCAAATAAAACATCATCCAAAACTAGAGGAGTAGTTGGAGTCTGGAAGGTAAACGATTCATAAGACAAAACCGCTTCAACTACGGCGCCATCTCCATACTCTACGGTCACCCGGCAAGTATTGTCCACACATGTTGCGCCGGGAGGACAGTTATGGCAAGGGAGTTGCCTATAAGTATAAGATTTACTAAAGGGATAAAACGGATCTTTTTGAAGAAAGCAATTTTCACAACCTTCACATTGAGTCCATATGAGATCACTTCCGGTATCGAACCCGAGATAAACTGTTTTATGAGATGATGAAGGATCAAATGTGCCCATTCCCAACTCTACCGCGTACATAGTAGTATCTATTACCATTTGCGGTCGTATTATTGGGTCATTTTTAGTTTTGCTGTTTTCACCTATTCGCGCAAGTGATTTTAGTCTAAGCTTGGACATTTGAATGTATTTCATTCTTGTCGTTGCATTCATTTGTGAAAAGTTTGGTCGATCTCGATGAACTAATCTAAGACTAAATCCTTTGTGATTTTGGGTGGTAGCGTTATTATGAGTAGCATGGATGGTTTGTAAAAGACTAGCTAGAGAAAGAAGGATAATAATCATTTGTGAAAAAGAGGCTAATTTATGTGTATTTGCCATTGAAGCTATTAGTTGTGAAAAATAATTTGTGAAAAATAGGCTAATTTATACTATTTGACATGTTTAAAGCTTGTACAAGTTCATTTGAAAGAGAATGTGAAATAGGAACGTTTTTAGCCATTTAGGCCATATTTGGTTGATATTGATTCCTAATGGTCCTAAAAAACAAGTAACTTGCTTTCTTTCGTAATTTCTTTGCTTAGGCACTTATATATAAATACCTATATTTGAGATGTTTAAACTTGTACAAGTTCATTTGTAAGATCAGAGAAGCTTTTTTTAGCCATTTAGGCCATGTTTTTGGTTGATTAATTTTGGTTTCAAATGGTCCTAAAAACAAGTAAGTTGCTTTCTTTTGTAAATTCTTTGCTTAGGCACTTATAGCTACCTATATTTGACATGTATGTTAAAAGCTTGTAGAAGTTCATTCGAAAGAGAATGTGAAAAATAAGGACACATTTAGCCATTAAGGCCATATTTGGTTGATTATGGTTCCAAATGGTCCTACAAACAAGTAACTTGCTTTCTTTTGTAAATTCTTTGCTTAGGCCGCACTTATAAGTGCCTATATTTGACATGTTTAAAGCTTGTACAAGTTCATTTGAAAGAGAATGTGAAAAATAAGAACACTTTTAGCCATTTAGGCTATATTTGGTTATGGTTCCAAATGGTCCTAAAAACAAGTAACTTGCTTTTTCTGTAAATCTTTGCTTAGGCACTTATAAGTACCTATATTTGACATGTTTAAAGCTTGTACAAATTCATTTGAAAGAGAATGTGAAAGATAGGAATGTTTTTAGCCATTTAGGCCATAGTTGATTGATTTTGGTTTCTAATGGTCCTAAAAACAAGTAACTTGCTTTTTTTTTTTTTTAAGTAAATTCTTTGCAAATAGGAACGTTAGTTTTTAGCCATTAATAGCGGGGCGATTTATAGCGGTCCACAAATTGCTGTAAAAAGCATTTTTGACCGCTGTAAAAAACATTATTTGTTGTAGTGTTAGGTCATATTTGGTTGATTTTGGTTCTAAATGGTCCTGATTGTATGGTAGTCATCCTTAAAATGACTACTAATAATACTAACTTTCTATTGACGATTTTGATTTATTTTTTAATGTCAAATTTAATTATAAATCATTTATCTAATTTTTAAAAATCTAAGGCCCTATAATTATGAGGGCCCAATTGTTTTCAGAGTCCGAGCTAATAAAAATAAAATTATTCCATTCTCCACTGATTCTTTCTCATGCTTCAAAGAAAAACAACATTTCCTATGAAGTAATTTCTAGATCTTTTACATTACCCCACTAGTGTGTGGTTCGAGTGATGTATCAGATTTTACTTTGAATATCAATAAATATTATTTGAGTTATAAAATAAATCATATATAATTTTTAAGGAAAGGGAACAATAATAACTAATATAAAGTATTTAGTACTTCCTCTGTTCCACAAATATTGCAACAAGGATGAAATTACGCATCCCAAAACACATTTTATATGTTAAATATCTATAATTATATAAGAGTAAAAATTATAAAAAGTTGATATTGTGAAAGTATTTTACGAGACGAATCTAACAAGTTATCTTTTCACATAAAAAATAATCCTACGAATGACAAAACATATTTTAAATTAATTTATTTTTAATAAAAATTACCACGTAACTGATCTTGGTTATATATTTAAGAAGGACCCTTTTTATCTCTTGGGCCCCGAAGAACAAGTAGCCACTGCTACTGCTACTGTGAGGGCAGGACACTTTGCTGGTGTCCCGGAACATAGCGCTGAGCCATCAATTAACTTCTGTTGCTGACCCTCAAGTACTCAGCGTAGAAGACGAACAATTGTTGATGACTTCGGTGAGCCTCAACCTTTCTCTTCTTTTTCTTTCCCATTGCCTTGCTCTTTTTACTTAGCTTTTTCTTTGAATTTTTTCAAAAATTTTCTAAGTGTTGAACTTTGGCTTGGATATATATATATATATATATATATATATATATATATATATATATATATATATATATATATATATATATATATATATATATATATATATATATATATATTTTGATGATGTTCATACTGCTCTTTGCCCCCCTGTCTCTTCTACTGTAGTCTGACGAAGAAGAAGAAGACAAAAGAGAGCCAGTTGAGAAATCATCTTCTTCGGACGAGTCTTCCGTCGAAGAAATGGTCGGACAGAGGAGAAAAAGAGCCGTTATAAATCTTGGGCAGTTTCAAGCTGTCGAACCTGCTGCAAAGAGACCTCGGCTAAGTGAGGACTAGGCCGAGGTGGTTAAAGAGAAGACTCCTCCTCCTCCTGAGATTCGGGACGAGGAATTTCAACAAAGGACTCCCCTAAACCTAAATTCCTCACCATCTCCTCGGCACATAGCCGAACCTTTTGCTGATGAGGTTCAGAAGGAGGCAGATGCGCTGATCATTAGCCCGAGGATGATGATGTGCAAATATTGGATGGGAGGCCCGAAGATTTTAAGGAGGCCGAGGAAAGAGTTGAAGAAGCGAAGAACTTTGACGTTCCTTCGACTTCGGCTGGAAACTCCTTTAAGACCTTTCAATCTTCTGAGATGAGGTTTGAGTCTACCCCACTATTGGCTGTTCCAAATGCTGCCACACTACAAGAAAAAGGCCAGATTCCGACGGACATCTTCTGACGGACACAAAATACCGTCGGAAATTCTGTATATTCCGGTGGAATAAAAATCCCTCGGAATTTATGGGCTTTTCGACGGATTTTTCCGTCGATACAATGAATTTCCGATAGAATTAAAATCTGTCGGAAATTTCCGACGGAATATTCCATCGTAAGTTTCCGACGGAATATTCCGTCGGAATAGTATTTAAATAAAATAAAAAAAACAAACCCTTACATATTTGCGGAAAAAAAAAAAAAAAAAAAAAAAAAAAAAAAAAACACTAAACCCTAAAACCGGTTCCCCTCCCCCAACCCTATTCATTTCTCTTTCCTTTTCTCCTCTCCCCCAAATACGACGGAATTTCCGACGGATTTATTTCTGTCGGCGCTTTTTTTTACTTTAGTTGAAAATCCGTCGCAACGTTCCGACGAAAATATCCGTCATAGTTTGAGAGGTTTCCGACGTAACAGGAATGCTCTTCTCTCTCACCGAATCTCGGTAATCGAGTTCTTCGGTGACCTATCTGGCCTATCCGAGTTGGAGAAGACGAAGGTCTGGTCCCTTTGGGCCGCAGCTGGGGTGTCTGAGCCCCTTGTGAGGGTTCCAGACCCGTTTGCTGAGAACCAGAAACTATTGATGCATGTAACTTGCTTATGCTTAAACTTTTTGCTTAAGTTCTTTTCTTCTTCTTTTTTACTTAAGCTTTTTTCACTTAAGTTTTTCCTTCTCTTTTTTTTTGCCTTTTTACTTCGGCTAATGTACCTGTGAACCTTGTAGGCCGTTCATAACCACTTTTTGGCTATGGAAATGAACGTGGAACTGAAAGGCAAGGCGGAAAAGGCCGAAGAATCTGAGTGTCGAGCTCGCCTTGCGGAACTGAAGAGCCAAAAGGCGGAGGAAGAATATGCTGCTTGCCGAGATCAGATGGATGCAATGGCTACCAGCTTCCGCAACTTCTGCCGGGAAATAGAGCAGTCCATCTTTCCTTGGATTGACGAAGGTCAAGCCTTGATCCAAGAGTATGGGGCTGCTGATATTCCCAGCTTTAAGGCTCGGATCAAGCAAAAGATGAAGTAGGAAGCTGAAGCTCGGCAGAAGATGGCCGAGGATTTTAATGAGAAGGCTGCCTTGGCCGAGGTTGAAGCCAAGCAGAAGCAGTCTGAGCTAGAGGCTGAGATTCAGCGACTAAATGATCAGCTGAAGGCCAAAGATACAGAACATTCTAAGGCCAAGATCGAGCTAGATGGAGTCCAGAGCCAGCTGGAAGTGCAGACTGATGAAGCTGCTAGGGTCAAGGCTGATCTTGAGGTTGTCCATAAGCTTCTGCAAGTTAGAATCTATACCCAAGATCAATACGACGAGGGTTTTGATAATGGCTTTAAGGTAGCTCCGCGACTGGCTTTTCATGCTGATCCAAGCATCAACTGGGATGCAGCTGAAGAGTGGTTGATTGATCCCAGCCACCCTAATCTGCACATAGCCCATGACGCTGAGGTTGCTTTCCTCAATCGTCTGGCCGAAGTTAAGGCTCAGGCTGAGAGGGAAGCTAAAGAAGCCAAAAAGAAAGAACCTCATCCTGCTTCCTCTTCGGCTGGTGCTGGAAGTTCCAAGGGCCCAACTGCTCAGCCTGATTCTGCTGATGCTGAAGCATAGGGATTCGGGCAGTCGTCTTTAGAGTCATGCGGATCAACATGTGCTTAACTGCTAATTCTGCCACATTTGCTTTTCCCTTTCTTTTGCTTCATCTTGCCTTGAATGTATAAAACTCTAATTTATTTTATTCTTTGAGTAATTTGTACTTAGTTCGGCAGCTGTGTTTTCCGCTTGTGGGCAGCTGCCGATGTTTAGGATGTTTCTTTTGTACTTGACTTGAAATTCTCAGTTTGAACTTATTGATTCTTTGACTTGCTTCTCTCTTCCATTGCCTTGCACTCTTTACTTAGCTTTTCTTTAAACTTTTTCAAAAAATTCTAAGTGTTGAGCTTCGGCTTGGAAATATCTTCTTGCTGAGGACTTCTTACCCTCCCAGAAATCTGACGTTGTAATCTTAGGTTTCTGAAGTACTTGCTTCAACTTTTTCAGTTCAGCCGAGGTTTTTGCCTTGGCAAAATATTTGTAATAACTCAAATTTTAAAGTTTCTGCTCTTTTTTCTTTTCTCTTCTACTTTATTTTTAAAGGATCTGATTTCGTTGATCTGAAGTCTTAGACTCCGAGAACAATATTCTCCTAATCCTTATAATTCATCCGAGGGAATAACTATCCAAAACACAATGCCAGGGAACTTATTCATCCGAAGTACAATGCCTCATTAGGCAAATACTTCGAGGGTGCAATCATTGTTCCTATTTTTTAGGCAATGTTTCAGATTCGTCAATAACCTCTTTGCCCGGAGGAACTAATTCGTCCGAAATACAATGCCTCATTAGGCAATATTTCGAGGTTGAAATCATTTATCCTCGTCTCGGCAGGTTTTACGGCTTGCCGAAGTACAATGTTGCGGGTGAGCGATACTTCGGACAGCGCCGAAGGGAAACCTTGAATTCAAAGAAATGGTGGCTCAAAGGCCTTTCATTAATAAAAAAGATGCACTTACATAAATTGTTCTTCCCCGAAGGGCTTACACATGATATTTCTTAAATACATCATCATTCCAGTGGTTTTTTCAGCTCGGTTCCATCCAACTGTCGAAATCGGTATGTACCTGGCTGAAGCTCATCATAAATTTCATAGGGTCCCTCCCAAGTGGCTGAGAGTTTCCCATGAATGCAGCCTTTTTGTACAACTGCAGCATTCCGAAGAACAAGATCCCCAATTTTTAGAAGTCTTGCATTGACTCTTCCCAAATTTGCTGATTCTTTGCTTGTATGCAACCATTCTGTCTCGGGTCGAATCTCTGGCCTCATTTAGAAAGTCAAGGGATTCTTTCATGAGTTGCTCGTTTTCTTCGGCCGAGAAGAGATTTACTCGCAATTTTTCTGTGCCAATTTTCACTGGAAGAACGGCTTCGGATCCATACACCAATTCAAAAGGTGAATGTCCCGTTGCCTCTTTTGCAGTTGTCCGAAGTGACCAGAGGGTTCGTGGAAGTTCCTCTATCCACTTAGACTTTTGATCTTCAAGTCTCTTCTTGAGAGCGTTGAGAATCTGTTTGTTCGCAGCTTCGGCGACATACTGCAGAGTATGCCAATTTGATGCCGAACTGATCAGTGTACCGCCTTAGCGGCAAGTTATCAAAGTGCCTCCCATAATCGAAGACAAAGACCTTCGAAATTCCGTAACGAGTGATAAAATTCTATCAGATGAACTTCCTGACAGTTTGCTCTGTAATGTTCGAGGCTGCTTCGGCCTCGATCCATTTGCTGAAATAGTCAATGCCGACTATTAGACATCTTTTTTAATACGGAGCATCGGGAAATGGCCCCAAGATATCCAGTCCCCATTGAGCAAATGGAAGTGGGTTCAGGATCGGCTAAAGATCTCGGGCTGGCCCTTTTCTAGGGTTGAAGACTGAACTCGGTCCAAGTGGTAATTGGGCCAAGGGTTTCCAACACAGCAAACACACGTAAACTAACCTCGGGGGTTGTGCCAAGGAAGGCCCCTCCGATGCTAAAGTTAATACAGTGTTTTTATAGAGAAAGCTATGCAAGAGAATTTTATGCTTGAGGCTTAATGTGAATGAATTCTGAATGAGGCAATTGAAGGCTTTTATACCTTACTCAAATAGGTGAACTGAATTGGGTCGTGAAGTCAGATGGGCTTGACATGCTGACTGGGCTTGACTGACTTGGCATGCTTGAGAGGGTTGAACCTTGCTTTTGGGTTTTTGTAATTAAAGCATTTAGACTAGCCCAATTAGATTGAATTGGACGCAAACAACATGCATGGAAAATTGGCAACAAACAACCGTCATATTTGACAGCAAATAAAAGCTGTTTTGCATGCTTATCATATGTACATATATCACTCTCTAGTCTCTATACGTACAACTATAGTATGATCACACTACTTATAATATACGTGATGTTTAGTTTAATTTTACAAGAGTCACAATTTCATGCTTTTTAAGTTGCACAATATAAAACCAAGAAAAATGCAACATCAACGTAGGTCTCCATATTATGAACTGAATTAATTAGATCACCACTTATGATGGCCCACTATCCATAAATGTTTATTTTATTTATGGTAACTTTAGTTACTCAAATAGAGTCAATTTCTTCAAGTACTTTCTCCGTCTCTTATTATTTGCACTATTTGACCTAAAAAACTCTCATAAAAAGTGAATCCAGGGTGCAAACAAAAAGAGATTGAGGGAATACGAGTATTGAGTTGTGCACAAGTAAAGTCACTTCAAGCACAACTGATCACGATCAACTTGCTGAATTAGCATCTCTAGTCTAAATGAAACACGACCTCCAACACACTGCTCACTTAACTATGCGACTTCGAAAGGGCATCCAGATATTTCCTGAATTTCCTAACCATTGTAGCATTCAAAATTGACGATATTTCCTGCCTAATATGTCCAGCTGGTACAACAATGCAATAACGTCTTGCTTTATCTTATCTGTGCTAAGGTCAACAAATTACACCATTTTATCATGCATCGATCAGCATCACCCAAATCAACATGGAAAGGGTGACTGATAACTGAATATCACTACATGTATGAGCATCATTAATTGAAGAAAGCAACTACCAACTCAAGAGCTTTACACGATAAACAACATGCATGGTCGGGTGTCTATTTGGCAAAATTGGCCGGGTCATCCGGGCAATACAAACCCGAATACTATAACCTAGGTGAAAACTCTAATATAGTCTTACGATTTTTGACTACCATAATTTTTTTAAATGGACGGCTGAGAATATTTGTTTTTTTATTTATTTATTTTTAATTAGTAATTTAAATTAAAAATAATTTTTAATTATTTTATATATTTTTTTATTTCCAGAATTTCAAAAGTATTAAAAAATAATTTCTAGAAGATAAAAATATATTTAAAATAAATAAAAAAAGAATATTTTTAACTAAAAATAAATCGAAAAATAAATAATCTCAGTCGTCAAAAGTCATAAAACTACATTGGAATCATCTCTAACCTAGGTTGTTACTTCTAATCTCATATTTTAGTGTTTACAATGATAGAAAAGGCGGTAATGAAAGCCGGCTTGTGATAAAATCATGGAATTTTAGTGCTTGTTTGATTAATGTTTACGTAGGAAAAACAATTTTCATGTGCGTATATGTCAATTAACGAAATAATCACTTAATATTTTGGCTTTGTTATCATTTATTACTATCATAAAAAACGTCATTATGTATACATAAGTGGATTAAAATTTGAATTATGTAAGACTTCTAATTATGTTATGATTCTTTATAGGTCTAATCAGACTTCTTGCGCAGAAATGTTCAATGGATGACGTAACAAGTCATCACTTACCTGATGCGCGTTTTACCTGGCATGTAGACTTGCATAAATTTGTCTTTTGTAAACTTTGTAGTTTGTACTGATAGATATGAACCGTCCAGCCCTTACAAAGTTACAAGTTACAAGTCTTACAGCTGTTATACCAGTACCAAACAACTGAAATAGAGGGTAGGTCGTTGTTACATGTTACATTCAATGCTGCTAGCAAAAATTTACCTTCTTTCCAGACATGTTACATGTTTCACTCTCATCTTTCATATACTTTATATAGTAACCTAGAAATGTGCTCAAATCCCCAAAATTCACTAGCTCAAAATACATCCAAAAAAAAAAAACTTAGGCAAAATTTCTCCAACATTTTTTAGAAGTATGTCTAAGAATGATTTTGATCAAGGTGAGGCCCTAAATTCGCCCTTTGGTAGGTTATATTTTTGCCCAGAAACTGAGCAAATTATGAACTGTGCCATGTTTTTTAAGTACCCAATTGATGTACAAGGCCTTAAAAAGGCCTTCTCAAACTCGACCATGATCGAAGACCCAAGGTTTTGCAGCCTCTTGGTAAGAAACCCTAATGGTGAAGATCATTGGAAGAGAGTCCATGTTAACATTGACGATCACTTCATCCTCCGATACCCTACCACCATTACAAAAGCTCGAGGCCATGATGAGGAAGACGACGATGAAGCCACCGTGAATGCATACTTAGCTGACCTCGCGGTGTCAACCCCATTAAGCAAAAACAAGCCATTATGGGAGGTTCATGTATTAGTAGAGTTAAAATGTGTGGTGTTAAGAGTTCATCATTCATTAGGTGATGGGGTGTCTATGATGTCTATGCTTTCCTCTTGTTTTGGTCAAAAGAAAGAGACAAAAAGTGGTGTTAATGGTGAGGGTAATATTGTGAAAGATGGTAACAATAATCATGCAAGAAGGAATTGGAAAATTGGAGGAATATTGGGGTTGATTCAAAGTATGTGGTTTACAATTGTTTTTGGGTTGAGGTTTTTAGGGAGGGTTTTGGGGGTGAAAGATAAGTTTAGTGTGATTAGTGGTGGTGATGGGGTTGAGCTTTGGCCTAGGAAATTAGTCACTGCCAAGTTTAAGATTGAAGATTTCAAGTCTATCAAAACGGCGGTCATTCCTAATGTTGTAAGTGACTTCACATGCATCAAATTTACTCCCCCAATCTTGAATATAGTCTTTTTATGTGCGAGCGATTTCACTTGCATTAAATTTACGGTAGATAGTTAACTACCAAAAAAATTACATTAAGCATGTACTTTCAGTTTATTTTGGGAATCCTGTTTCTCATAGTGAGAAACGAAATTTGTTTCTCATGGGGTCATTTTTGTGAATAAATCAACAACTTTTTCATTATTGTGGACTCCACAATTGAATAAAGTTGTTGGTTTATTTACAAAGATGCCATGTGAGAAACAAAATACTATGAGAAACTGGGGCATCCCCATTTATTTTGCATGTTTGACCTCTTGATGTATACTCTTTTACTATTTTTGTAGATACACATAATATGATGTACATCTTATGATCTCCAATTTTTTCTTAAAAAAACATCTCACACTTCACACTTGCTATCTAATCACCTAATTTTTACTTGTCCGAGTTATCTCGTGGCTCTTGAGTCTGCACACACTTGGGACAGTTGACGCACATACATACAGATCCCTAACACGCATCATGACCTTATTATCATTGAAAGCTCATGTTATCTAATTCGTAGTATCATAGTTTAAAGCTTGTATATATTTGAAGAAGATGTGTCGTATTAATTCCAATTAACTAAGGACCCCCTTGAAAGGTTTAACAGCTTGTCAGTTAGTTGCTTAATATGTGATGGATTGTTTATAATTAAAGCTACAACCACTAAGTGGATATTTTGGAGCGAAGAGTGTATTTGAAGCAAGATAATCATCTTTTCATTTCAAATTACTTACATTAATTTGACTTTTAATTAAATGAAGATATGTTTGTAGATAAATGTCAGTTAAGTTCGTTGTTGCAGTGCTAGCTTGGTAAATCTTAATACATTGATAAAACAATATGAAGCAAGATTTTATGATCTTTAGTTTAACTAATACTGAATAGATGAGTAAAAAATATTGATTATGAACATTATTGTCATTGACAATGGTGTTTAGTCAAAATACAATTAATTTGGTTCAAAGGAATGTATATATTTAAATGATATACTATCTTCGTTTCTTATTATTTTATAATAAAAGGGTACTGTATTATATAATAATAAGAAACAGAAGTATAAACGCACTCCACACACATGATTGCATGATCTAGTACGATTTCATGTGACAACTAATATCCTCGCTCCATATACCTGTGCACTCTCTGCAATATGGCACGATGTGTTAGTACGTAACACAATTATAATTTTGTACACAATAAACGCAAGATATACACGTAAATAGTACTCCGTATGGAACAAACACATTGCATTCCTGAATTACTGCTATTCCAGAAAAGTGAAAGTTAGCAAAACAATAACAGCCATAGTTACCTAACTCACAATCATTATATACTGCTTTTATCATTCTCTTTCTTAGTTGCTTTGGTATGTTTTTTATAACTAGTCTTTACGCTATGTTATTTGCCATATTAATCTCTATCCGATTATTTAATTTTTCACCCTATATTTATTTTTGTGTACTGCAGACTGTCAATGATGTGCTTTTAGGGGTCATTTCACATGGACTCTCCAAGTACATAGATGACAAATCACCCAAGGGTAATTTTATTTTTAATCGATTTATTTTAATTTATTATGTGAAAAGGAAACGAGAATTTAATGGTTGTATATAAAACATGAGATCGAATTAATCCTTGGTGTTTCTTTTAAATAAATAAATAAATAATAAAAAAAAAAAAAAAAAAAAAAAAAAGAAAAAAAAAAAAAGAGGAGGTCAAAGTCAATAAACTCAATTGTCCTGCTTTTTGTTAGCTCTGCGGCAAAGCCTTCAAGTGACTGCTATCCTGGTTACCAATCTACGAAGAAACTCTGGCTTCCAGGTTTGTTTTTCATTCACTTTGGTAACACTTGTTTAATTTATACTCCATCGTCTCCATAAAAATATATTGATTTAACTTAAACCTTCTAAATGTGTTTTATAATTACAAACATTGAAATAAATCGTAATACTCGTATATCTTACTCCATAGATGTTAACAAAATACAAAAAAAATGTTAACTTTGACTATAATTTTTTCAATGTTGCAGTATCACGCATGATGTGGTGCTATACTGCTATTATATTGTAGAAATTTTGAGAAAAAATAATAATTCTTCAAACCCAATAAACTAATAATTTTAATTTATTTCAAATAAAAGTTAATATTGTTATATCACTACACCGTCTACACGTCACCTTTTAGTGTGAACTATTTTATAAGCTCAAAAAAGTTAAGACAGTATTCTCTCGAGGTTAAAAAATCATGGTGTAATTGTAGCAGGAAAATACAAATACATCTGCGAATTTGATAAAAACCCATCCTAGTTGTGGGTTATCATCATGGGGAAACAGAACGGGCTTAATGCTACTGCCATTATATTGCTGTAATGGGCTTCATCCTTTGGATCATTTGAAGGAAGTGAAAGCAACAATGGACCAAAAAAAGAACTCATATGAAGCCCCTATCTCTCATAAGTTTCTTACATTGTTGACTGCCTACTTTGGCCCAAAGGTTAGTTCTATTCTAACTTTTTTATAATAACATTATGATCGAGTAGAATTACACCCGTTATGTATTAGCTGCAACTTTGGGGTATTATTCGTGAGATATAAAATTTTTCAAAGTTGCAACTACTACTTAACGGAAATAATATTTATGATATAGAGATTGGATTGGAGAAATATAGAAACAAATACAATTTAAATTCCTAACAATAATTTGTTCTAGCAAATCATTTAACCTCATGGTCAGTCGATAATACGAGTTTTAAATAACGCAGGCGGCTAGTTGGTGTTGTCACCAAGTTTTATGTAACACAGCCTTGCTTGTTTCAAATATTATGGGTCCTTCCGAGCAGATCGTGGTTGCTAACAACCCTGTTACAAGTTTAAGAGTGAACATCTCCAGCCAACCTCAAGTACATGAGTCAATCCCATATTTTTTTTTTTCGTTTTTTATTTTTTTTTCCTCTTATTTTTGATGAATATATAAATTGTTATTTATGTACTTTTTTCTTATTATGAGCAGGCAATTACAATGCACATGGTAAGCTATGCAGGGAAGGCTGAATTACAAGTGATGGTGGCTAAAGATATCATTCCTGACCCTGAATTTTTGGTGAAGTGCATTCGAGACTCTTTAGTTGAAATAAAGAATCCGTCAAAATAAACCTTGTTTAGATATATATGAGAATGTTACATCATTATATAGTACTTCATATTTTTTATTTTCTTTTAGATCGACCACGCCAATATATATATATATATATATATATATATATATATATATATATATATATATATATATATATATATATATATATATATATATATATAAAATAAGTGATTAGGACAATAAATCGATTTGGCTAGCTGCTTGTACATAGCTGATTCAACCATCAGTCTACAATATCTCCGGTTCTAGTAGCTTGAGGAATAAAAGGATCATCTTGCACGAAGTACATATATGGTGCAGTTATGATTTATGAACATGGTTCGTATTATTTTGTCAAAATTCATCTTTTCTTTATCACCTTAATTGTACAATTGTGATTATCAAAAAAAAAAAAAAAAAAAAAAAAAAAAAAAAAAAAAAAAAAAAAAAAAATTGTACAATTGTACGGAGTATTTTTATTAAATTCATTATATTCTACCGTACTTATTCTAGTTACTAAAAAGCACTTGCCTCCTGTACACCAAGCAGTGCAAGCCTTCATAGCCGATTCATCATACAAGCATGACCAAGGACGGTGATCATCCAACCCCACCTCCACCTCCTCCACCTTCGACGGAATATCATCCAGCCCTCTCCGTCAATAACATCAAGAATGCGATTCCGATGATTCTTGATCGGAAAAAGTCCAATACTCCAATGTACTTGGCCATATCGACCCTAAGACACCTCGTCCGTCCGATATGATATGATATCTCTGACTCATTGTGGCTTCGCTGGGACTCCATTGTTAAGCAATGAATATATGGAACTGTTTCCACCGACCTTCTTCGAACGGTTCTTTGTAGAGGTGATTCGGCACTCCAAATTTGGAACAAGTTGAAGAATATATTTCATGATAATAAAAATACAAGGGCCGTATATCTTGAAAATCAGTTTAATCTTCTTCACTTGTCAAATTTTTCTGACATTAGCTCCTATTGTCAACAATTGAAGAATCTCAAGGATCAACTTGCTCCCATCGATCAACATGGTATCGGAGCCAGCGTGACACAAAGGTCACGAGTTCAAATTTCATCCACCCTTGACTTTCAAGTGGAATATTAAGTGCTAGGTATGAGGAGGACTCATGCTGCATCCAAACTTCAAGCCCAACGAGCTCTCATGTGAACGGGCGTGATAGAGTACAAAATATATTCTTGGATCTCAACCATCAGCTTAATCTTTTGCTTGAGTTGGTCCTTCAAAAACTATGGTGTACGACCGATCTTATCATGTCCATTAGAATTGAACTTGTTATAATTTTTAGTTTATTACTATAAGTGGTATCAATCTACATAATTTTTATTTCCCCCTATACATTTTTTTTTATTTTTTGAGGTCAAATGTCGTTCGATATTTTGAGAACACCTCAAAGAATTCCTTTTCGAGAAGGAAAGTTCGAACCTTCAATCAATATATGTAGGGTGAGAGAGTGAGGGATAGCTCAGTTGGTAAGAGCTTTCCTCCCGGTTCCAGGTGATCCTGGGATCGATTCTCATCCCCGTCCTAGTGGCTCATATGAACCAAAAAATATATGTAGGGTGAGATTAAGAGTTGGTCAATAATATTGTTGAGGGAAGATCTTCAATTCATCAATAATTGCGTGCAATGTATGAAAAGTACAAGTAAAACAAATTGTCCTACCATTTCCTTTATTTAACAAATTCATACTGCTGATCGTTAGCTTTAATTTAAGATTAAGTTAACCTAATCAATTTTACTCATTTTTATCATTTTTGTTTATGATGGGGAGACAAAACACGCATAGTAGTCTAGCCAAATTAAATCGGTAATGGGCCCAAGCCCTTTGGAACAGGCTATGAAGGCAATTATGGACAAACGGAAAAAATTGTCTCCCACTTGACTCTGAAATCATTGACATCCTTTATAGGCCCAAAGGTTAGTCCAATCTTGTTATTCTACTAATGTTCTCAACTAAAAAGTTTGTGAGGATGCCAACTAGCTAAGTATTTCGGGGTTGCTGACAATCCAATGATTGATTTAAATTGTGTCAATATAAATATCCTTTATGGTCAATCTCAAGTTTAAATACAATTTTATATTTATAGCATTATAATACCATGCTCGACAAGGTATCTGTAATTTAAATAAAACTTCATCAAGAATTTTCCTACCATTTATTATTTACGACTACGAAAATGAACGACGTTACCTATAAATGCTCACGCCGTAAATGTTCGAAGGACATAGCGTTGCATGAGTGTTTAATACACTTGGACTAGGACTGCGCTGAGTCAATGTCCACATATACATTAAAATGAGCTGGCAAAATTGATTGACAAACAAAACCAATTAATACACCTGGGCTACGACTGCGCTGAGTCAATGTCCACGTATACATTAAAATGAGCTGGCAAAATTGATTGACAAACAAAACCAATCAAATAGATTAACTGGGCAAGGCTCTTTCTTAAATGCTTAATTCAATCAGATGTACTCTTCAAAGTCGAGTCCATTTATACATAGTTGAGTTAATTAGTATATCACATAGATAATTTTAATATTACAATCCGTGGTATCCTATACGTTGCTCTTACCTCAATTGTTCATTTTATGGTTTAGCCGTGCAACAAGCCCTGCAACTTAGTTTTATCATTCCAGTTCATCTACGCAAAGATTCTTCCATGCAGGTAACTCTTTTTTTCTCTTTCTGTTTTATTTTTCCCGGACTTTTAGCATTTTATAATACTCGTAAGAAGTGGCTTTCTTTAATTATACTAGTACAAGTACATAAATGACTCGTAATCAAAACATGGACATACCGCAAGATCATCTCAAAAATCATAATTAGGCCATCAACATAACATTGTCGTCTTAGAGAGAATAACATCGCCAAGAAAATCACAATTCTTTCAAAAATCATAATTAGGCCATCAACATAACATTGTCGTCTGAGAGAGAATAACATCGCCAAGAAAATCACAATTCTTTCAAAAATCATAATTAGGGTGCAACATATATGTGATCAAATGCTTATTAAATTACTCCCTTCGTTTCCTTATGTTCTTATTTTAACATTTACTGTCAACAAAAATTTTAACTAAACTTTTTTTTATTTATTTATTTTTGGTGTTCACCAGTTTCATTCTTTAGGCTAATCTGAATTTGGACTCATTTGTAGGTGGTTAGGTTCTAGTTCCCTCTTAATTGTTGTTATGAGGGATCGAACATGCAATCCTCCCTACCAAGTGCAGACTCAATCACCAATGCACCAACAACCAATTAGTAATTTCAACTATTTTATGACACAGGAGATTTCAGATTTGATGAAGACCCCTAATCTTGAGTTATCTGGATGGGGAAACAAATCGAGTGCCGTAATTGTGCCAATTGATTGCTGTAATGGGCTCAAGCCTTTAGAACATGTTAAGCAGAAGAAGTCAGTTATGGACAAAATGAAGCATTCTTGTTGTGCTCACTTCACTTTTAAATCGATCAACTTTATAGTTTCCTGTTTAGGCCCAAAGGTTAGTCCATTTACTCTTTTTTTTCAATTTTTTTTTTTTTAAGTCAAGGCTCATGTCATAGGCCAATAATCTAATCCATTATAGTTTTTTTTTGCCCATTTCAAGCCAAAAAAAATATTTAAAAAAAAGATTATAAGTAGAAATTAAATGATATTAAATTTCAGGTTGTTAGTTGGAGCCTTCACAAATTGATATGTCATACAACCTTGAGCATATCTAATATTGTGGGTCCCTCCGAGGACCTAGTGATTGGTGACAACCCTGTAACGGACATAAAAGTGAATATGTCAAGCACATTCCACATAAGTTACTCCCTCGCTTAATCCTTATGAATTTTATTTTTCGTACATGCTTTAAAATTTACATGTTGAATTCTGATGTTTGTTTGTTTGTTGATTTTAGGCAATTACAATGCTCTTAGTAAGCTATGCAGAAAAGGTTAATCTACAAGTGATGATTGCTAAAGATATCATCCCTGACCCTGAATTAATAGTCAAGTGTTTTCAAGATTCTTTTCAAGAAATGAGGAGTTCCAGCAAAATGAAGTTGCAAGTTCAATTTTGTAGGTGCAGATTTGTGATCTCTTCCTTTATAAGATACAAGTATTAGTTTAACTCGATCAAGTGGGTTATTCCTTTGATTGACAATTGATATTTGAATGGAACCTCACTTCGGTTATGTTATTGTCTTATTGTCATAATATCATATCTTGTGTATTAATTTAAAACAACAGAGTTGCTTAAATTAAAGTTGTGTACTTTAAACTTTTGAACAATAAAAGTATTAGTGTACACCTTGTATAATCAAAAGTTTTTGGTCATTAATTATACAACTGCAAACTTAATGGAATATATTATCCTAGACTAGACTCCTAGTGCTACCAATTAACCCCTTGGACCTTGTAAAGGCAATGAAAGCAACTATGAAAAAAAGAAAAGAAAGAAAAGAAAGAAACGGTCATATGCCTTATCTCCCATATGACTCTGAAATTGTTGACATTCTTTATAGGCCCAAAGGTTAGTCCAATCTTGTTATTCTACTTTCTATTAATATTGGCATATTCTATTCCAAAGAATTTGTGTGAATGTTAACTATCTAAGAATTTTGAGGGTGATAGCTAGTTTATGATTGAATCTTTGAGTCACTTCTATATTAATTTCGTTTGTGGCAAACTCAAGTTTCAATACTCCAAAACTTATCTTGTAAAAACGTTAAATGTATACCATATTTCAATCCATATTGAAGGCAGAAGGTATAAGACTTTAATTTGCTTATTACTAAGATGATGGATCCAAGTAATGAGGTGGGCAGCTGGGTCTATCATAGAGTAATGTGTAAAAATAAACAACCTTATTTCAAACATCTTGGGTCATTCTAAAAAAGTAGCGATTGTTGACAGCGGTGTAACACTCATAAAGCTGAATGTTTCATGCCAAACATATAACATATTCATTGTTTTAGTAGTATACTCATGCAATGCCATAACTTTCTAGTTTATGTACTTCCTAAAATCAATACCACCTAATATCATCTTTAATACACACCAATAGTTATCCAACATCGTATTTTATAAGTAATTCTAACAAGGTTTTCAATTGGCCAACCATACCCTACCTTAAAGGTTTAAACCTACACGCATGCTATTCTAGCTTTAACTTTCAGCTTTTAACTATGACCAAATTTGAGACGGGAAGTTAGACTATTAATTCTTACTAGTAAATCATAAATTCACAATTACTCCTTTAAGACATACAAACTACCAAAAGAAGGTTTCGCACTAGATTTCCTTGACAATGACAGGAGCATAGCTAGCCACCACACAAGAATAATCAACCAACCATTGGAAAAATTAAGGCTTGATTACTCTAATATTCAAGCACAACAAACATTGTCACACTCAAAACATTAAAGTTCCCTCTCTTAGTTTTTTCCCTAAACAATTAAAATCAACTTCTTATAAAAACAAAACAAAAAACCTTAGAATCAACTTCTGTCATGGAAGCCACTAGAGATGAGCCTGTAACGCCGGCGGGCCGGCTATTTCTACAGCCACACTTCAACCAAATAATCAACTGCGCTATTGGCTTCAAAGAACCTCTAAATACAGAGGCCATAAAAACAGAAATTTCAGACTGTTTGATGGTAAAACACCCTAGATTTTGCAGCCTCTTAGTATTAGATGATCATGGAAGAGAATATTGGAGAAGAACGCAAATCAACTTAGACGATCATATAATCATTCATCACAAAGACCCGGGTTTCGATTCCGATTCCGATTCCTATTCTGAGGAAAACATAGAAGAAAAGATCAATTCTTTGTTAGCAGATTTTGCAGTTTCTTCTCCCTTAAGTACAGATAAACCCTTATGGGAATTACACTTGATTAGTGAATTAAAATGCGTAATTCTTCGAATTCATCATTCTTTAGGAGATGGGATTTCCTTAATGTCAATGTTTTTAGCTTCTTGTAAGAGATTAGATGGTAATAATGAAGTAGGTTTTACTGAGAAAAACAGAGAAAACAGGGGAGATGCAAAAAAATTGAGAAAAAGAGGTTTATTGGAAGTTTTGAAGATTTTTTGGTGGACCATACTTTCTGTGATTGGGTTTTTTGGGAAGAGTTTATGGGTTAGTGATACAAAGACCGCCGTAAGCGGCGGAGATGGGGTGGAGCTGTGGCCAAGGACGGCGGCGACTGCCAAATTTAGCCTTAAAGATATGAAAACTGTCAAAGGAGCCATCCCTAATGCGGTAAGTACATCTCTTTGTTTGATCGCGCAAAATATAGCAATCATTTTTTTGCCATATTTGGGTAATTTGTACATTTATAGCTAGCTTCAACTAACTTACTGCGCAGTATATGTCTACATATAGATTATGGCAAAAAGTGTTAGGCTAAAAGTAGGGGTGGGACTTTTCAAACCGAACCGTGAAACCGTCCGTTACCGAACCGAACCATCACGGACCGAACCGTTTATAACCCGCTAATTTTAAACCGAAAATCGAACTGAACCGTATAATGTCAAACCGAAACCGAACCGAACCAATTAATGTTAACCCGTTACGAACCGTAAACCAATAACAAACCAAACCGTTTATAAACCGAAACCGTTTGAACCGATTAATGTTAACCCGCTAACTGTTTAAACCGAACCGTTTATAAACCGAAACCGTTTAAACCGTAGGAAAAAACCGTTTAAATCGGACCATTTACAACTCGCTAACCGTTTAAACCGAACTGTTATAACCCATTAAACTGTTTAAACCGAACTATTTTCAAACCGCAACCCGTTTAAACCGATCCGATTACAAACTATTTAAACCGAACCGTTTACAACCCGTTCCATTCAAATTGAACTATTTACAGCCTTTAACAATTTGTTAGAATTCCACGAAATATATTTGATGTTTAATGTAATTTAACAGTACAATTTTTTTTACATATAATTATTGATTTAAATTTGTAAATTTTTTTGCTATTATAAATTTAAAATTATATTCTTGTATAACTAAATTAGGAGTTATAAATTAAATAAAAAAATGAAAAAATTTGGCCACCCACCCAATCCAACCACCCTCCACCCACCCACCACCGTAACCCACCCTAACACCACCCCCGCCGTCACCCCAGACCCACCCTAACACTACCCCCCACCCACCACCGTTACCGTAACCCACCCCCACCCCACCACCGTTACCGTAACCCACCCCCACCCCACCAACGTCAACCAGACCCACCCTAACACCACCCCCGCACCCACCAATAATTACCGTAACCCACCCCACCCCACCCCACCACCCACCGTAAATAAAAAAACCCAGACCCAAACCTTACCCCACCCTATCCACCACCGTCACCGTAAATAATAAAAACCCAGACCCATACCCCACCCCACCCACCACCGTCACTGTAAAAAAAAAAAAAAAAAAAAAAAAAAAAAAAAAAAACCAGACCCAACCCCAACCACACCCACCACCGTCACCGTAACACATCCCACCCCACCCCATACAAAAAAATCGAAAAAAACCCAAACCCACCGTAACCCCACCCCACCCACCCCCACGAAACCCAACATCCTCGAAACCCCCCAACTCACTCTAATTGCTCACCCACCATAAAACTCCCTCCCTCCCTCGAAAAATCCTCCCTCCCCACCCACCCGAACCCAGTCTAACCGCCGCCGCACCCACCCTAACTCGGCCCCCTCCGTTGCCCACAACTTGAAAAAAAATTAAAAAGAAAAACAGAAAATAAAAAAAGGAAGAACGAAAACACCTTATATATTAATCCTGAATTTGGCCTCGAATTTGGTTTTAAAAGGCCAAATTCGATCATGAAACAACTAGATCAAGAGTTTCGTGGTCGAATTTGACCATAAAAATCGTCGTGCGTGGTGCCGGTGGACGGAGACGGAGAAACGAGATGGAAGAAAGGAGAACATAGACGGAAGAAGGGAGAAGAAGGAAGAAGAAGGAAGAAGAAGAAAGGAAGAAGGAAGAGGAGATGAGAGAGAAAACGAGAGAGCAGTGAGCATATTAGCAGCCATGGCTTCAAAAAATTGATAATATTACAGAAGAGGATTAAGAAAACGAGAGAGAAATCAAAAAGAGTACTAAAGAGACGATGGTAAGAGTGATCTGATTGGTGGAAAAGAAAACACGCGGATCGTGAATTGGAATGTGTGCGATGATAGGCCGTTAGATGACATGCAAATCAATGGCTGATATTTAATATAAGATGGTGACACGGATCATGGGATAATGGATTTGGATAGTATGTTTTTTTTATTCATAGCTACATACTAATAAAAACACTACTGTACTCTTAACTTTATGTAACTTATAAATTGTAAGAAACACAAATGTTTGGAAATTGGAATTGATTCAATATGACATATTTAATGTATATTAGTTATATGTATATCAGTATATGTAATAAATAATAATTTATGGTACAATTGGTATCATACTATCATTGGTATGTATAGATAATCGATAAATGTATCTGATTATTAAAACTTAAAACAGTTGATGATCGATCTAATTGAATACTTCTACTTCCCCACCCGTTTTCTTTAACTTGCAAGTTGCAACATATATATGTTGCAGCCTTGTAGGCACGTAATCTTAAAAGGTGATTAGAGAGGGTAAGACAACAAAGTAATTCAGCAATATAACTTTAACACCAAAATTATGGAATAGTTACAAACAATTGTCAATTATTACTTTATTAGACTAATGGGAAATTGAATAATCGTGATTTTAATTAAACATCCAAATATAGTTCCGTAACATTAAATTATTAGTTTATTACAATATCAATTATCGATTTATCGTATTCAAAGTACCAATTCATCAAATCATGGTTATGACGCGATCTTTAAAACAATTAAAACAAGAAGCTGATAGCCTGATAATATTTGATAATGAAACAATAATACATTAATACCTTATAAATTTGTAATAGACTAATATTTAATAAACAACAACAAGACTATAACCAAATTTGAAACATAAACATTAACATGATATAGAATGAATGAGAATTTCTGTAATTCTATATAATCTGATATCTGAATCGATTTATCGTATTCAAAGTAGCAACTCATCAAAACATGGTCATGACACGATATCTAAAACAATCCAACAAGAAGCTGATAACCTAATAATATATATTTAATAATGAAACAATAATGCATTAATACATTATAAATTTGTAATAGACTAATATGACAATATCGAATAAACAACAACAAGAGTATAACCAAACTTGAAACATAACATATTAACATGATATAGAATAATTGAATAAATGAAGATTTGTGTAATTGTATATAATCCGTTGTCTGAAAATAAAGTGACGAAATCCCAACTTTATATAAAACAAAAATAGCTAACCGGTCAAAAATCTCTTAAAACCCAATTTCTACTCGATCCATTATTTTTTTCACCAACCTATGCCGACCCGCTAATGAAATGGAAATACTAGTCCCAACTTGATATAAAACAAAACGCGCTAACTGGTCAAAACCACTTTTTAGAACTCGATTTCAACCCGATCCAATTTAACTGATTACCAAACTAACCCGAACGATTTTAGCACCAAACCGAGTATAAACCGAACCGATATGAATCGAACTAGCATTAACCCGGGTAAACCCGCCCCTGAACCGACCCATTTCAAAATAATCCGTTCATGACCCGAACCGATATGAACCCGGACCGACGTTAACCCGGTAAAACCGCCCCTGAACCGATCCGTTTCAAACCGGTCAGATCATGACCCGAACCGTTTATAAACCGAACGGGCATTGACCCAGGTAAACCCGCCCCTGAACCGACCTGTTTCAAACCGACCCGATTATTAACCGAACCATTTAAAAACCGAACCGGCATTGACCCGAGTAAATACGCCCCTGAAGAGACCCATTTCTAACTGATCTGATTATGACCCGAACTGTTTATAAACCGAACCGTTTATGACCCGAACCGAATTTAAATCGTACAAAAATAAACCTAAACCGAACCGACCTGTGACTAATCAAAACCGAACTGAACCGACCCGCCGTCTAAATGAAACCGTTTTAACCCGAACCGTTTCAAACAGAGGTCAAACCGAACTGCCAGACCGAAGTCCCACCCCTAGCTAAAAGTTATGTGATAGTTTTATAATACAATATAAGTAATACTTCCTCCGTTCCTTTTTTACTTGACCTGCTTTGATTTTTACACTATTCACCACCCTTCCTTTGACCGTCTTTTGTGAATGATATGTAAGGAAATATATATTCGTGAGGAATCTTTTTGAATTCGTCTAAATAAGTACTATCATAATATACAACTTTTATAATTTTTACTTATGGAGAATTAAAGTTATTGATCGCTAAAATTTTGCATTGACAAGCGTGATAAAAGAAATAGATAAAGTAAAAAAAAAAAAAAAAAAAAAAAAAAGTACTTTGTTATTGGTATAAATTGCAACCAAAGTTTTAAAATGCTAAGCGAAATTGTCAAGAACACGATAGTTTATACAAAATTATTTGATTAAGATTAGATTTTAAGATTCATGTTTCAATTGCAATACTATATTTTTTGTATTTGTCAGTTATCTTTAAAATATCCTTAATCAGAGTAGTCACATTACTCGCATGTTATTTTAATGGAGTACAGAACTTATATTTGATAAACATTACACTCTAATATGACTTATAATTAGTTGCCCTTGAAGGCTTGAACTAGTATGTATGACATATTGCATTGCCACCTCTTGCAGACCATCAATGACGTTCTATTTGGAATCATATCATCCGGGTTTTCAAAATACTTGGATATTCGATCATCTCATGGTACGAATAAGCTCTTGTTCGTTACAATTTTTGTACTCCGTTTGTTATAAACCTAGGTTAGCTGGTTTGACATACTAGTGGGAGTTTAGGAGCACAACATGAATCCCAAGGTCTTACAAATGTGACTTACAAATAATGGTCACGAAATTTAGCTGATAGTCTTTATAGTCTCCAAAGAGTAATTCATAATGTAGGAATTTAATTAGCTAGCTAATACATACTCCCTCACCAAGCAGTGAAGCAGGTGAGAGACACCGTTGCCCTGAATGCAGAGCATACAGCCCGCGGCCATAGAAACATACAAGTATTAACAAAATCGAACTGTTTGTGTGCATTAGCTTTGCAGGAGGGGCTTAAAATCACAGGAATAGCTATGGTTAATTTGAGGAAACAACCTGGATTACAGGTGATTTACAAAGTTTAATGATATCTTATGAGTTGCTTACATAATTAAGTAACACTGTATGTAACGACGAAAATAAGCGCATGATTTAATTTTTGCATTATCTAGGAAATGTCGAAGTTGATGGAAGATGATTCTCGAGCTAGATGGGGTAACCAATTTGGAATGATTCTCTTGCCTATATATTGTCATACAAAAGATCCAGATCCTCTAAATTATGTAAAGAGAGCTAAGGTGATGATCGATCAAAAGAAACAATCATTGGAGGCTCATTTCTCATACAATATAGGGAACTTAGCAATGTCCCTCCTTGGACCAAAGGTAAGGTTCTCCTAAAAGATAGTCCTTGCTTCAAAAATTAAGTGATATAAAGGCATATGTTTGTGCATTATGAGAAATTTGAAATGGAATTATAATATTTTTGCATATCATCTTTTGATGATACTCGATCAATATATAATGCAACCTTTACATATACAACTTTTAGACATCTAAAGAGTAATAAAAAATGAAGTTTGATAGTGATTTTAAGCAAAACTTAAATTTTATATAGAATGTGATAAGAAACAATTTATAGGCCGTTACAATAGTCATCATTCCTTTACACACACATCTAATAGGAGTTGCCTAGACCTTAACAAATACGAAGTTTTATACTTAGTATACAGGGGGGTTGTTTCATTTAACATACGAACGGATGACACCTAAACTGTACATGTTATCAAATTATCATTATTGATCAATTGGCGATCAATCTCGTGTTTTCGTTATGCTTGTATCATTGCAGCTAATTGCATAATGAAAATTGCTAGATCGAACATGTCTTTGAGACAATATGATAATTAAACTTAGCTTGTAATTGACACGGGTACTTCAGTATGCCAGCATACTTAATCACAGGATTCTTTGCAATACAACATTCACAATTTCAAACATGGTCGGTCCACAAGAAGAATTGATGTTTGCTGGCAACCCCATCACCTATATTAGACCAACATCCTCTAGCTTGCCTCATGTAAGTCGTTCTCTCTTTGTCAAAACCTTATGTATAAAGATTCACGAATTAAATTTTTTTAATAGTAAGGGGATCCTGACTAGACCTCAACCCTCACGGTTTTGGTCCACTATTTACGGGCCAGACACTTGGGAGTAGTGGGGAGAGTAAGGGAATCCCTACCCCAAGTACCCTCACTTGGTAGGATCTGAGGTAAGAGTCTTACCAAGTGAGTCAACACTTTAATTTGTTGGTAGATTCTTGAATTAAATGATACTCTTTCCGTTCCTTAATTTATGTTTATCACATTTGGAATACAGCATTATACCTGTGGTATAAATCAAAGTTGGTATACGGTTAGTTTGATTTTGGTTTGGTAAATGTAGGCGATAACAATGCACATGGTAAGTTACGCGGGAATGGCTAACATGCAAATCCTAGTAGCAAAAGAGATTGTCCCAGATCCGCGATTTCTGGCTAAGTGCTTTGAAGATGGTTTGCTTGAAATGAAGAATGCTGCAAAGAATGCAGTTATGTTGTAGTCATTGAATTGACGATTAGCCAACAGATAATTGATTCGTAGATAGGTGTTATGGATTCGATTCATACGAAATGTGTGTGATTGATCCTAGAGGATGCCATATTAAGCTGCTGAAAAAATGCTTATTTATTGCTTTTACTCCTTATATGTGTGATCTCCTTTCGCTTTTCATTCCTCCACTACAGTCTACAGGTTTGTTTCGTATGTGTCTCTAGTATTAAGATAAGCCCTAACAGAAAGTTTAACGTAACAAAAAAATAAAATAAATAAAATAAAAACTTTTGTGTATATATAATTTGTAAGAATAAGTTATTTTTTCTCTTAAAGTATTTGATAGGAAAATTATCTTTATTTTTATGGTACTACATACTCTAGTAATGCCTAATATGCGACATTTAACGATGTAACCATTAACTAATAAATAATTGCATGCTTTAAGAGATAGAGAAATACAAATTAATAATAAAAAGCAAGCGCATAGCACCAGGATGGCTAAGTTGTAAATATTAACATGAGTATAAAGGTACCATTAAATGCTGTAATGGTATAAATGTTACTCTAATGGTACAAATAAGGGTATTAACTATTCACCTTATTTTCACTTATTTCAGGTGTAATAAGTTCAGATAAGTTAAGTTAAGTTCAGATCAGGAAAAATAAGTTTAAAAATAAGTTCAGATAGGGTCAGGATCCGGTGAGAATAGGTTTTTATGTGAGAACACTCCTAATATATGAGAACAAATCTAAGCCTTTGGATCAAACGATATCAACGGTTCTAATAAAACCAAACTTTTCATCCATATACTTGCTGCTAATCAGAAAAACAGAGTGAAGAAACTACGAGCTTCCATTTCAATGAGATTCAAGGATTCTAATCATAATTCCGTTCGATTTTTGTCAGATTTCCGCAACAACAAGAATCAACAAGCTTCATAGATTATGTAGGTAAATAATCAACAAAAGTTCTGTTAGTTTTTTCCGAATATAATTTTCTTAATTTTGTCAGTATTTTCGAATTTCATGGTTTGAATGTTGGATTTTCGTTAAAATTTTAGCAATGAGTGATCTTAATTTAGTATTTTCGTTAAAATTTACAAATTTGATGTTCTAATTTTCGATTATAGTGTTCTGGAAACTTTCGAATTTGAATGCTCTTAATTTGGTTATTCGAGTTTGACTGTATGATTTTTGCTAGATATTTAGAGTTGAGTGTTCTCAATTTAGGATTTTCATTAAAAATTTCCTATTGCATGTTACTTTTATGTTGATAAAAGCTAATTTTTGTGAAATTTCCTATTGAATGTTCTTATTTTGTAATTATTTGATAAATTCAATAGAAGATATGTAAAATGAGAAAACATAATTAAAATGAGCAAACTAAATATGAAAAGTAATATAGTGAAAATAAAATGAGCGAACAAAAATAAAATGAGCAAAAAGAATTAAAATGAGCAACAATTATTTGCTCATTTATCAAATGAGCAACAATTATTTGCTCATTTATCAAATGAGCAAACAATTCTTTGCTAATTTATCAAATGAGCAAACAGTTCTTTGCTCATTTATCAAATGAGCAACAATTCATCGCTCATTTATCTAATGAGCAACAATTCATCGCTCATTTATCTAATGAGCAACAAACTGGATTAAGGAATGCCATGAATTGACCAATTTAGTGGCTGAATCTCCATCATCTCTCAGGCAACTTATAATCAGTGATTGCGGGAGACTGAGAGACATAACGGGTGCATTACAGCATCTCTCTTCCCTTGAGGATTTGAAGCTTTAGCACTGTGAAAAAGTGGATTTGTAGGATGTCAAGAATGATGATGATGGTGAAGATGAAGCTATTAGTGGCAGGCCGTTTGCTTTGCAAAGCCTTAAGTGCCTTAGCTTCTTGAGCTTGTATTTAATCTCAAAACTGAAATCTCTTCCTAGGAGCCTATGCTATGTCACAAGTCTTCAAGAAATTTACATTGATGAGCTCTCTGAATTAAGGGGCCTACTAGAATGGTTTGGCAAAGTAACCCAGCTTCGGTGGTTGTCAATAACGAATTGCCATAACTTGGTGGCGCTCCCAGAATCTTTTCGTGAACTCACTGCATTACAAGAGCTTAACATTTGGAAATGTCCAGAACTTGAGAAAAGGTGTGAATGGCCAGATGGCCAAGATCGGTCTTTTATACCATCCACTGGCGAGTACATATCCCTACTTTCATTTTCACCGTTAATAAGCTCTTTTTGCATTAATAGTGCTTAAAATAGGCTGTTGTCTATGTTGTTTGTCAAAAACATTTATAATTATATAATATGGTTGCAGAAGCTGTTAGTACTATTTGTTATTTTTATGTTACATGATTTTACTATTTGATTGTCTATTATCCACTTATGGTCTTATGGACTTTTATCAATTTTAATTTTACTCAAAATTTTCTTAGGTTTTTTTATTCCTCCTTTGCAATATGGTTTGTTGATTATAATGGGAGCTAGATAATCAGTGCCAACTGACTCTGATGTTCACTTTTACTTTTCCCTATTTGCAGTGTCCATATGTCGGTATTGAGACATTGCAGGGACATTTTAGCTTCCTAGATCAGAAAACCATATTATCAATTCACACAAAGGTTAAGGTTAGTTGACTTTTGATTCTTAAGTTTGTCATGCATTTCATTTGCTACTTAGATTTGTATCCTGTTATCTGTGATACTGCAAGTCTTTTCTCTCTGCAACCTCAATTTTTGGTCCAGCCAGACCCTTGCTTGATCTTTATTGATTTTTTATTTTAAATGGAATCCAACGAGGCAACGAAAAAAAAAAAAAAACCTCTGTTTTTGTGTTGTTTTTTTAGATAAGTTTTATTCTCAATTCTAAAACTAAAGTGTATACGTAGTATGCCTTGTTTCTCTAAGTGCTTAGTATGTACAATATTACAATATGGAGTAATTGCATAGAATAAACAATCCCTCAATACTACCTAAGTCTTTGTTGCTGGCCATATCTTTTAATTCCAGAAAAAAATTGTTGGTATGGGCTCTAATTGTTTCCCCCTATCTTTTATCTAGCTTGTTTTGTATTGCTTGTCCATTAGGAATGCCAATTCATTTGCCTACACTTTGCTTCACATTAGTGCTGTATTTTCATTTGCCTATCTTTAATCAAATGAGCAAATAATTCTTTGCTCATTTATCAAATGAGCAACAATTCTTTGTTTATTCATCAATTGGTCTACATAAGGTGAAAAAATTTAGAACATAGAAAAATAATTTAAAACATATATTTAGAGCTTAGGTAGAAAATTCTAGAGTATAAGCAAAAAAATTTAGAACAGTAGCATTAAATTTTGGAACATATTCAGTAAATTTTAGAACATTTGCAAAAAAATAGTATAACATATGATAAAACCTATTAGCTCAACTGGTAGAGCACAATGAAAATGCATAGGATGTAGGTTCAATTCCTACATAGGTTATAACTATAAATAACTAAAAAAAATTAATTAAAAAACAAAGAAAATCAAATTAGCACTAAATTATATGAACAAAAAATTGGCTTGAAATGATTAATAACTATAGAAACTTTGTAACAGCCAAACTCTCATATAATTAAACGTTTGTCTTCACATTACACAAATGAACCTACGTGGGATTCGAACCCACATCTTTTGTGCATTTGCACAATGCTCTTCCCGTTGAGCTAGTAGGTTAATGCAAACTAAATTCAAACGAGCAAACTAACATAAAATGAGCAAACTAAATTCAAATAAGCAAAGTAAAATTAAAATGAGCAAATTAAACTAAAATTAAAATGAGCAAACTGAAATAAAATGAGCAAAAACACATATAGTAAAAATGCATAAATGAAAATCAAATGAGATAAGGTAAGAGAATCTTAGAGAGAGGAAGTAATTAGTGCTACGAGAAGAAGAAGAATTAGCAACAATTTTTTGCTCACTTATCAAATGAGCAAACAATTCTTTACTCATTTGTCATATGAGCAAACATTTCTTTACTCATTTGTCATATGAGCAAACATTTCTTTGTTCATTTATCAAATGAGCCAACAATTCTTTACTCATTTGTCAAATGAGAAAACATTTCTTTGTTCATTTATCAAATGAGCAAACAATTCTTTGCTCATATATCAAATGAGCAACAATTCTTTGCTCATTTATCAAATGTTTGCTCATTTATCAAATGAGTAATCCGAGTTTATCTTATACTAAACCGCCGCAGGCTTCTCCCATTTCTGCAGAACAATAGCAGTTGCCAAATTAACAGTTAATGTAGTTTTATTGGCTTTCTCATACTCTCCAATTATGCTCATAGCTTTTTGTTGAATCCCAACTAGATCAACCATCTTCCCTTCAAAAACCCAGGCATTTCTTCGCAACCATATGCCCCAAAGCAGACTCCAGAACATGCTCCACCATTCAATATCAGTGTGCACCATCTCTAGCTCTAAGCACCACTAAAAAAAGATCCAACCTCAAAAGTGCTAAGGTTGAGTCTTAGTAGAGAAGTATACCAAACGTTGCCCTGTTACATAATGCAAGAGTATGAAGAGTTGTCTCACTCTCTTCACCACACATAGGACACAAAATATCAACCTTCATTCCCCTCCCAGCCATAGTGATGGTAGTAGGCCAGAAATGGAGACCAGGGTAAATATACAAGTACTAAGGGCGTTTGATAAATTAACACATATTTTTTGCTCAAAATATATGTTTTAAATTATTCTTCTATGCAAGAGTATGAAGAGTTATTTCACTCTCTTCACCACACATAGGACACAAAATATCAACCGTCTTTCGCCTCCCAACCATAATGATGATAGTTGGCCAAAAAATAGAGACCAGGGAAAATATACAAGTACTAAGGGCATTAAATAAATTAACAAAGAATATTTACTCAAAATATATGTTTTAAATTATTTTTCTATGTTCAATCTTTGAAATGAGCAAATATTTTGCTCATCTATGAAATGAGCAAAAATATTTTTGCTCGTCTAAGAAATGATTAAAAATATTTTGCTCAATTACGAAATGAGCAAAATATGTAATGAGCAACATTGTTTTGCTCTTTTGCATCAAACAACTAAAATGAGCAATATTTGTTTACTCATTTTAAGAAAATGGTAATCATA